TTTAAGAAGGCCCTCTTGTCTCTCCTTGCTATTCTTTGGAAGTCTGCATTCAGTGTTCTGTAACTTTCCCTATCTCCTTTACATTTTGTTTCCCTTCTCTTCTCTGCTACTTGTAAGGCCTCATTGGACAGCCACTTTGCTTTCTTGCATTTCCTTTTCTTTGGAATGGTTTTAGTTGCTGCCTCCTGTACAATGTTACGAGCCTCCATCCATAGTTTTTCATGCACTCTGTCCACCAAATCTAGTTCCTTAAATCTGTCCTTCGCTTCCACTGTGTATTCATAAGGGATTTGGTTTAGATTATACCTGACTGGCCCAGTGGTTTTTCCTAGTCTCTTCAGTTTAAGCTTGAATTTTGCTGTAAGAAGTTGATGATCAGAGCCACAATTAGCTCCAGGTCTTGTTTTTGCTGACTTTATAGAACTTCTCCATCTTTGGCTGCAGAGAATATAATCAATCTGATTTCAGTATTGCTCATTTGTTGATGTCCATGTGTAGTGGACACAACATGTCTTGTGTTGTTGGAAAAGAGTGTTTGTAATTACCAGCTTGTCTCTTGACAAAACTCTATTAGCCTTTGCCCTGCTTCATTTTGAACTCCAAGGCCAAACTTAACTGTTGTTCCTTTTACCTCTTGACTCCCTATTTTAGCATTCCAATCCTTATAATGAGAAGAATATCTTTCTTTGGTGTCAGTTCTAGAAGGTGTTGTAAGTCTTCCTAGAATTGGTCTATTTCAGCCTCTTTGGCATCGGTGGTTGGTGCATAAACTTGGATTATTATGATGATGAAATGTCTGCCTTGGATTTTTGAGACTGTATCCCAGTAAACCTTTTCCCACTCTTTTGTTGACTATGAGGGCTAATCCATTTCTTCTACGGGATTCTTTCCCACAATAGTAGATATGATAATCGTCTGAATTGAATTTGCCCATTCCCGTCCATTTTAGTTCACTGACGCCCAGGATGTCGATGTTTATTCTTGCCATCTCCTGTTTGAACACATCCAGCTTATCAAGGTTCATAGATCTTATGTTCCAGGTTCCTATGCAGTATTTTTCTTTGCAGCATTGGACTTTCCTTTCACTTCCAGGCGTGTCCGCAGCTGAGTGTCCTTTCAACTTTGGCCCAACCACTTCATTAACTCTGGAGCTACTTGTACTTGTCCTCTGCTCTTCTTCAGTAGCATGTTGGACACCTTCCGACCTGATCTTTTAGCATCGTGTCTTTTAGCCTTCTGTTTCTGTCCATGGAGTTTTCTTGGCAAAGATACTGGAGTGGCATTGCCAGTTCCTACTCTAGGTGGATTGCATTTAGTCGGAACTCTCCACTATGACCTGTCTGTCTTGGGTGTCCCTGCATGGTATAGCCCATAGTTTCTCTGAATTACTCAAGCCCCTTTGCCACAACAAGGCAGCAATCCATGAAGGGGTAAATAGTTCTTTTACAAATGTGATGTTTCAGTGTGGTAGTTACTATTTTATTCATGTAATTAGCACATGTAACTTGATGATTAAAGTATTTTTACTATTGTAATAGAGTTAGCCTTTAAGTACTAGATTGTTAAATTTATGTGAGTGGTCAGTTGATCAAATATATGTATTTTTTGCCCAAAAGCTCGACTATAGAGTAACACTTGTCAGAAAATGGTGTTCATCTTGGATAGATATGTTGCCTTTCTCATTCTCACATATCTTAACACACAGCTTTTGTTCGCCAGTGCCTGTATCACTGAAAAGTAACCACACAAGACAGGGTACTTGTTCAGAGTGGTTTCTGTTTTTTGTCTTGCCTTCAGTTTCTGTTCATTACAGTTTTAGTCTTGTTTTCTTTACATAGTCAAGATAGGTAGTGTTGTTCAAGCTCTAAGGCACAGGGGTGCCTTATGATGGGTTTGTTCTGCAATGCCCAGCAGTTCTTGGCAGCATAGCCGATGATGGGGGATTATGGGAGTCATGGCCTATAAATATTGTGAGGGCCACAGTTGTCTATTTGTGTTCGAACTATTAAAGATAAAGACTGGCTTGTGCTTGTGACTTGAAGCTGTGATATCACTTTCCTCCAAATGCAACTCATACTGACTCTTGAGTGGAACCATCGCCTTCCAATACGGATTAAGTTCTCAAGTCAAGACCCCACTGTACTGACTCTGGAGTGGAACCACTCCCTATAGAAGACACTCTGACACAGAAAGTGGGAACAGGGTGATGGTAAAGCAATTATTAAACAGTTATTTGTATTCAACGAGTTATATCCCTATAGAAGACACTCTGACACAGAAAGAAGAAAGTGGGAACAGGGTGATGTTAAAGCAATTATTAAACAGTTATTTGTACTCAACGAGTTATAACTATTGTCTATGGAAGAAATGACACCCAGGTTTTAGACCACGAGCCATGTAGTCTGGAAATATTTTTCTTTAAACCTTGATGAACCTGCTGCAGAGTCAATTATTTGTGGGCTTCAACATTATGTGGTAGAGCACAGTGTGTATCAGCATTCTTGTAGTTGTCTGAATTACAGTTCAGAAGAAAAGGCTATGTTCCCCCTGCTTCTTCCAAACAGAAATATAAATACACTGACCTTTTGCCGAATACAGTTTGGCACCATGCATGTTCTGCTAGATATCTCATACGTGTCCAGAGACATGTGCTAGGTGTTGAAATATGTTACAGACAGCCTCAACGTTCAGTGGTGGAACACATGGCCCATATGCAGCAATTTCTAGATTTGATCCCTGAGATTTCCAGATAGGACTGGTAAAATGAACTGCTGGATAGCTCAGTGGCTTAGGCATCCGGCTGCAGAGACTGGGAGCTTGATTCTCCACTGTGTGTCCTTGAAAGGGGCTCAACTCAATGATCCATAGGGTCCCTTCCAGCTCTGCAGTTCTAAGAGTCTTAAGAAATGAGGGTCATTTCTGGTTTGTGTTCACAATACTTATCTAGATGGACCAGTGATCTGAGTTGAGATGTAAGGTGGTACTTTAGTGGGACATTAAAAGTGGTGAATTAACCTGAAGATTTTGGACGCTTTTTGCCTGAAGAATCCTGAATAGAGATGGGCACAGAATGAACCATGAAGCAAAGAAACCCATGTGCCGTCCTGTTTTGTGGTTTGTTTTGTGATTTGAGGAACACACCTGCCCCAGAACAAAATGAAATGCTGAATTATTACCAGTGTTGGTAATTTGTATGTGGGATATAACTCAGACATCCCAAATCCAATCTTCACCAAACTTGGACTGACTTTTGGGCTGGCTCTCCTCCCCATCCCCTGCAAGTTTGGCAAAGATTAGGTTTTGGATGTCTGAGTTATTGCCCCCCCCCAAAAGCAGGTTCTTCAAGAAAAGTGCTCTTTAGCATCTGGATAACATCTGGAAGTCGTGAAACACACCAATCATAACACAGTTCATTTTGTTGGAAAGTTTGTGGTTCATAGTTCATGAACAGAGGTGATCCACAAAACATCATGAGCAGCCATTTTCCCAGTTTGTGCACATCTCTAATCCTGAATCTTAGCAGTTGAAATTGCAAATTCTGTGTTGTGTCTTTCCCACAAAGTATTTAATTCCAGTTTAAAACATAAGTAGCTTTCAGCTGAAAGAAAAACTGTAGGCAGCGTGGTTTTGTAGGTGGGTGTCGCGTTCTCATGGTTTTTGTGCCATATTAGTCTGGAGTGATAGGTGCACTGCAAAGCAGTTTTGCACATGTGTTGGATAGGTGAAGATAGTCTTCCAGCTACTCAAATTATGATTTGTTGGGATTTTGTATAATTAAGTTTCTAGTCTACAGAAGAATATGTTGGCATCATGTAGAAAAAGCTGAAATGTTTTTCTAGCTCTTGAAATCAGTGTGTGGGTTTCCTCCATTTTCAGTCTCTTGAGGATTGCCCTTTAGATGAGGATGAAGAAGCCTTTCATCATTTGGCTGAGGAAGATGAAGATATTGACCAGTTCAATGATGACACATTTGGAGCCGGTGCCATTGGTGAGTCTGTATAACAAATGGATCTTACCTTTTTAAGCATATACGTGGAATGTGATATACCGTGGTGCCTGGCTTAATGATTACCTCGTTAAATGCTGAATCCGCTTGATGATGAGGTTTTTAAATTGCTATAGTGACTGCAAAACGATGGGAGAAAATCATTTTACGATGATCGGTTCCCTGCTTTGGGAACCGATTTTTTGCTTAACAATCGTTTTAAAAACAGCTGATCGGCAGCTCTCAAAATGGCCACCCGCTGTGCAGAATGGCTCCCTGCTGTTTTTAGGATGGATTTTTCGCAGGACAGGCACCAGAAAATGGCCGCCCTATGGAGGATCTTTGCTGGACGATTAGGTATTTAGCCCATTGGAACGCATTGAGCGGTTTTCAATACGTTTCAGTGGGGTTTTTTCCCCGCTGGAAACAGATTAACATCATCAAGCAAGGCAGCATTGTAATTCTATGGAAATTCTATGTTCCCTTCTCTTCCGGTGGAAGATCTTGTGGCCCAATCCTGAGTTGCACTCCTGTCATTTAGACTAGGGCCTGAGGCGCCCTTTACTATTTATATATTTTGCCTGTGAGGAATAGATGGATGATGCTGTCTTAGAAGGAGGAATGAGAGATGTGGCATGAGTGCTAGCTAGCCCAATATCCTTTCTGTCCTACCTTTGTAGATGATGACTGGCAGGAAGCCCATGAAAGGCTGGCGGAGCTGGAAGAAAAGCCTGCGTCCTCGGGAGAGCAAGTGGATCAGGGAGTTACGGATGAGATGGACCTGCTGGGGGACCATGAAGAGAATCTGGCAGAGAGGCTGAGCAAGATGGTGATTGATAATGAACTGGAAGATCCTGCCATCATGCAGGCTGTGCAAACACGGCCCGTGGTGCAGGTGCGTAATAAGTAACGAGGGGCAAGAAAGGAATAATCTTGCTTCTGGCGGGCTGTCCTGCTTATAGAGTGCTTTCAGTGACCTTCCTCGCTGTCTCCCTTCTTCCCAACAGCCGGGTGGCCTCAGTTCGAGCATCTGGGATGGCCCTTCAGTTCTCAGGCGCATTAGAGGTCCCCTTCTCACTCAGGTGCAGTGCCTTTCATTTTTCTCTTGTTCTGTAGAAAAGAATGTAGATTTTCTAGACAGCCGGATGTTTTTCTCACTACTTCCCTAATTTAATGTTTTCCTACTACAGCATGCTGTGCACAGCTCATAAGGTTGCTTCTTTGGACTACAAAGTCCTAAAAAGTAATTTTTCCAAGTTCTGAGATACACTTCTTCCCAGGAAGCCTTTATTTTTACATAGACAAACACTCAAGGGAGAGGATGGAATAGAGGAGAAGGCTGGGGTTTTGGCAAAGTTGCCGCAAGCTGTCCTTGAGGAAATCATGTTTGAATAGGTTGTATCTCATGCCATCGTCTCTAGTCATGGTGGGCCTCGTCTCCAGAATAAGATCTCTCATGGTGCCATCTCTAGACTACTTCATCATGGGTGAATGCATGGGTAACCAGGCTTGTGGTTTGGAAATGTGGGGGTCATGGCGGTTCTCTGGAAGAGCTCTGTTTTTCAAAACTACTTTGGCATTGCCTGTCAGGATCTGTCATTCAGAGAGGCTCTGCTGGAATGTAGGGAGCCCAGCTGGGCTGACAAACCAACCCAAGGTAAAATTAGGATTGGATTTTATTTAAATCAAATCAAATCAATTTAAATCAGTTTAAATTGACTAGCCAATGAGCATCTTATTTAAACAAAATCTGATTTAAACTTTAAAAAAAGATCAAACGCAACTTTTAATTTTTTAAAAAATTTAAATTGGGTTTTTAAAATAAAGTGCTTACATGGGACCCCCGTATCCAGAGGGGAATGGTTCCAAGCCCTCCCACATTTCCTGAAAACCACGGATAATAGTGAATGCCCCCACCCCCTACTGTTGTTACTGCACCCACGAGAAGTGGCCTGGGCCAGCTTCCACCCCTCCACCTGCCTCCTGCAGTGACAGAGCGCAAAGGGGCTGAGCCACCAGCAGCGGGGATGGGGCAAGAACTGCTCTTTCTAGCTCTGCTTCCTCACCGAGAAGCAGCCCTGAGGCAGAGGAAGAGGGATTGGGCCGGCCTGCCTGAGACTGAAGGCCCAGGTAAGTGGGCCAGAAACAGAACCGGGGGGGGGCCAGATGTGTGTGAAGGAAGGCAGCTTCGTGTGTCCAGGATTGGGGAGAAAAGGGTAGGGCAGGAGGCTACCAACCTCTCAAGAGGTGGCCTGGGCCAGCCCCACACCCTTCCTCCTACCTCCTGCAGCAGGCGAAGGGGCTGACCCACCAGGATGCTGAGGAGAGGCTGTTAAAGTTTGGGAACCACTGTCATAAAAGAAAAAAGGGGGGGGGGAATTCCTACCCACCAGGATGCTGAGGAGAGGCTGTTAAGGTTTGGGAACCACTGTCATAAAAAAAGGGGGGGGATTCCTGAAGAGAACAAGAATTCATCTTGGTCTCCCTCTAGTGGCCAGTTCTGATAAACCATGCATTTTGGGGAGGATTTCTTTATTTCAATATTTTTAGTACAGTACAGTTAGTGTTTTCATACCATGGACAAGTTGATCAGCGGATATTCACCCAGAGGATACTGATCCAGCAGATACAGGGTTCCTACTATATTGACTAGAGATTTAAATCATTATTTAAAGTGTGATTTAAATTGATTTAAATAAAATCCACCCTGTTATTTGTTACACTGAAATAGTGACATGGTTCTCTCTGTTCATGCATTTGAAATGAAACTTCATTATGCCTTGGTTGCCAAACAACAACAAAAGTAATCTGTTAAAGAAAAATGAAATTGCTTGTCACTTGTTACTCCTAACCTCTGGGTTTTCTTTGGTGTTGTATTAGGAACACTGGAGGCTGCCTTATACTGAGCCAGGCCATTGGTCTGTCTAGCTCAGCATTTTCAGCCCTGAATAGTAGCAGCTCAGGAGGGCTTCAGCCAGGATTCTTTTGTACCCTAGCTACTTATCAGTGGTATTTCACAATGGTATCTTAGCCAAGTACTGGCTAGACCTGGTTTGCTTCACTTCTGAAATGAGATGAGATTGACTATGGTCAGGGTGATATGGTGGTAGATTCCATTAAAATGTTGATTTACTCCTGTAAGAATCTGGAGCTCCTGGCATTTAGGTTTGGCAAAAGCTGATAGCAGGCTACAGAAGCCCAGTGTTAAAACAACAATTCACCTTGCAAAGTTGTGTAGACACAATGCAGGGCATCAAAGAGCTCCTGACTGACAGACCTGCCCCTTTCTTTCCTGTTTGTAGATTTGTCTGACATATCAGGAGCTTTCTCATCATGTGGTGGGAGACAGGATAGCAGACGGAATAGTCTAGTTTTTCTTGGATGTGCATATGCTGCACAAAAAATTGGTGGCTCAGAGAAATCTTACGAGCAGATCATTCTCTGTACAGAGCTGTGTTTGCTTGCTGCGTTACAGTCAGTAAGAGTATCAAAAGAATTATTATTCTCTCACTAACTCCATGAGGTCCACTTTTCTGTATTGGTTAAATGTCACATAATTTATCTCCTGCTTTAAAATGGGTATGTGCTAAGCTATATTCCACCTCTGTCTTCTCTGACAGAGAAGTGTCTAAAAACAGACCTTGGAAAAGTTACAGTTTTGGATTCAGCTCCCAGAATCACCAGTCAGTGGTAATTACAATTGGGTGATTCTGGTAGATGTTGCAGAGTATAGTCCAAGTAACCAGCAAATGTTTCTCCACTTCCTGTTTCCAGGAAGTGCCCTCCGTATCGGTGTTGGAATATGCTCTACCACAGAGACCTCCACAGGCCCAAGAAGAAGAGCAGGATGTCTCGGAGCGGGCACTGCCCAGGCGATCCTCCTCACCAGTCATTGGTAGCCCTCCTGTTAGGGCTGTTCCCATTGGGACACCACCTAAGCAGCCCACCATGCCCACCTTCAACCAGCAGGTATTGCTCCCCGTTCTATAAGGAGGGAAGGTGGATCTGAAAATGGCGGCTTCATGGATGAGCTGAGGAGGAAAACAAGAGGAGGAAGAATCCGTGGCATGCTGTGATGTGTAGGGATTGCCACTGAGTGTTTAGCTTAGCCCCCTTCAGAAGCACATTGTGTGCTGTCAGTAGTTGTGCCTTCTTGGAGGGCTTGTTTCCTTGCACCTTGGGTGCTGCCTGGAGAACTAGATGTTACAGTTACCCTTACATCTTCTGTCCTGTCTTCCTAAATGAAAAGTGTAAATGCCTGAAATAATGGTGTCCTGCCAGCCACTGTTTGTTTCATAAAAGGCAATGCAAAAGAATCAGGCAAAGATTTGACTTCTTTCTTCTGGTGTACAGAAAGTGCAGTGAAATGGGGGGGTCAGATACCCCACTGTGAAACTGTTTGTTTCATAAAAGGCAATGCAAAAGAATCAGGCAAAGATTTTTCTTTCTTCTGGTGTACAGAAAGTGCAGTGAAATGGGGGGGTCAGATACCCCACTGTGAAACTGTTTGTTTCATAAAAGGCAATGCAAAAGAATCAGGCAAAGATTTGACTTCTTTCTCCTGGTGTACAGAATGTGCAGTGAAATGGGGGGTCAAATATCCCACTGTGAAAATTCTCCTTTGGCTTCTTTGTCATGGGGTGGCTTGTGTGTTCTCAAAGCTGTGCATATAATAACACTAGAAAGCCATCCTTGCGTTGCCGCCATGGAACAAAATAGGGTGGCAATTTCTGCTTTTTCTGTCTGCTCTTCCTTAGAGCTTTCCCAAAGCCACCCTCCTATCAGGAGGGAATAAAGTTAACTTGACTACATCAGCTTTGTTAATGTTGAGAAAACCTGTTTTCTAGAAGATAGTCTTGGAGAGAGTAGTTGGTGGTGGGTTGAGGCTTAAAGCAGATCCCTGGTTTTGATTTTGCATTCTTTTCTTTCAACTGCCTAGATCCTGTGTCCAAAGCCTGTTCATATCAGAGTCCCAATTCAGCAGCGTTACCCAAGCCCATTCAATGAGAGGATGTCTCCAAACCAACTCTGCAATATGACGGTAGTTTTGACTGCATAGTTATATGGGCTGGCTTGTTCTTTATCTTGTCTTGCCTTTTCCCTTCCTCCAGCATTCCTCACTCCTCCTCATGTGCTTGAAGGCCAGCCCTCGTGAAGGTAGCCTTGAATGTCTTTGGTCTTACTGTGTTTTGAAACAGTCTCCCAGGCCTAATTGCAAAAATCCTCATGAGGCGCCTTTGTGCATTTCAAAAGATCTTTTCGTCTGTTTGTATATTTATAGTAATAGAGATAATACTCCCGTAACTTGTTTTTCTGTCTTAAAAGAAGGAAGTTTGAATAGAAGAGCTTAGATCCTTGTTTATATTTTGTTCTCATGATGTTTTCATGCCTATTCTTTGGGTTGTTTTTTTTTTACAGTAAATCAGTTTTTGTCAGAAATAACTCCAGAATAATGACAGTTTTGAAATGTAGTATTTCTGGCTGTTCATGATTTACTGATTCTGCTAATTAATTTAGAAGGGCATGGCATACTTTTAAAGGAACCTTCATGCTGGTCCTCCAGTCTTGAAACACCTTGTTTAGTGCTGTACTGAATTCCTTTGTTAAACTTCCTATCTCCCTCCTACATCCTGTTCTGTAGGATGAGCATAGTGAGTAGACCACATGTTAACATGCACCTCTGCTTCCATCTTGCCTTCTTCAGACAAAGAATTCTGTAGTTTTCTCCTCCCTCCCTCCACCTCTGCTTCCATCTTGCCTTCTTCAGACAGTTCTAATTTCTGTAGTTTTCTCCTCCCTCCCTCCCTCTCTTTCTTTCTTTGCCCTTGGAATGTTCATATTGGGTTACTGATTGTTTTTAGAATTGGTGTCTTCTATTTCTCTCTTCCCAGAACTCTTCTCTCCTGGGCCACCCATTCCCTCCCAGCGTAACTCCTGTTCTCACCCATCTTCAAAGAGCACAGCTGCTAGGAGGAGCGCAGGTAAACACTAGATTATTGTCTTGCTGTCATTCTGTCTCCTTGTGCTGTTGCACATGGTATCACATAATTACTGTTTTGCTTTTTTTCTGCACATGTTTTTTCTCTCTGTATCTGCCTTTTGTGTTTCCTTTGCTTTCCAGGTCATATATTCTGGGAATAGAGGAACTATCCACAAAGGTCTCTTTTGCATTATCCAGCAGATAGAAGTTTTTGTATTGGCAGTATTTTCTTCTTCTTATCCTTACAGGCAGGGAGGATGTCTCCCAGCCAGTTTGCACGGGTCTCTGGACTTGTTAGCAGCCCTCTGGCTTCCATGAATCCCAAACTCCTCCAAGGCAGAGTTGGGCAGATGATGCCTCCATCCAGTGGGTTTCGTGCCTTCTTTGGGGCCCCACCTCCACCATCATCACAACACCACTCCCCATGCCCTGGAGCCCACTTGCAGAATCTAAGGTATTCCTCCCCACTCAACTTATTCTGCCTTTTGGAATGGGAGGGCTGGGGGGGAGTCTGAATGAATTGTCTTCGTGATTCTTCCACTGCCCTTTCCTGAGAGAGACCCTTTTTTCCCTAGGCCTCCACCACAGATGTTCAGGCCAGATACAACCCACCTTCACCCGCAGCACCGGCGACTCTTACATCAGAGGCAGCAGCAGAACAGGAAGTGAGTTTTGGATGCATCTGTGTGCTTCTGCTGAGGTAGGGAGGGAAAGCTGAAATGCTTCACAGTGCAAGCAGCAAGGTACTATTGGGATTGTGCATACTCAGTCTCAAGGGAACACAATTTCTGATCCCCGAGTAACATGCTCTGACATACAGTGGTCAATAAATATGCACAAGCTGGATTTTCAGTGCAAAGGATTAAAAATGATGGGCATTCCATTAATGAATGGAATTTGGTTGAGTGAAGACTGTCTTTTATATTTGGAGTCCACAGTAGGCTTCTAAGCCCAGTCAAAATAACTGCAGTAGCCACAGGAAAAGAATTATTCCTTCATGTTTGTACAGTTCATTGCTGTTGGATGGAGATGTACAAATGCTTAGAAGAGTTTTTAAAGAGTGCATACAGGGGAAAAAAACCGAAACAGAATGGTAGGAGTCACCACGTTCCACCTGTTTGTCTGTCCTGAACCTTGGGTACACTGCTGGTGGGGGGAAAATGCTGGACTCCATGTATGCCAAGCCTTATCTAGCAAGACAATTCTTACATTCTTAGATACACAGAACACTGAAACCCCACTCTGAGTCTAGCATTTCTGTGTTTCTAATCTTTTTTTGGAGTCTGCCTACAAATGTGTTGACTTTTTCCTCTGTGTTCAGGACAAGAATCTTGCTTCTTCAAAGAAAGCAGATAGATCTCCTATTCTTCCGATAAAGTCCCTGACACAGTAACCTCGCTTCATACCTAGAACATCCATATTCTTGAGCATCTGTTCTTCAGAGGGATTTCTGAACAGCAGATAGTTATTCAAATCATTTAGAGGGCAAGGAAGTCATTTCATGACCTATCAAAACAAAACAAGGTTGTGATTGGGTTGAAGTTTTCTTCATCTTTATTAACCTACTGAGGCTTTCCTACCAAGACTGCAACTCCCATCAGTGCTGGCCAGGATAACCAATATTGCAGAATTCTGGAGGTTGCAGTCCTAGAATCTGGAGCACTGTACTTTGCCCAGTCCTGATTTACTCCCCTTATGAGTTTGGAAATGAGTACACTGGCCTTGCATGTTGCATTGATCTAGGGCTGATTTTTACAACCCACACGAATCTGCTCGAGTTTGCCTCTTCTCTGCCCTGAAAATTAGCCAAGATGTATGTATGTTTCTGCCAAGATATTCCTTGTAAAGCACAGGCTCTTTGCTGTAAGTGGTACTTATGTAGCAAAACACAGTGCACAACTGTTCAGTATTGTTTTTCCTGAATTCTACAACCCTCCTTTCAGTCAGCACCGGAATATAAATGGGTCAACTGGGGACCGAGGGAACCACCGAATTAACCATCAAGAGCAGATCAGGAAAGACCCATATGCCAATCTCATGCTGCAACGGGAAAAGGACTGGGTGTCCAAGATCCAGATGATGCAACTGCAAAGCACTGATCCATACTTGGATGATTTCTACTATCAGGTTGGTACTTCTGTAACCTTGCAAAATCCTTGAGAACCCAGTCCCTGATAATGCAAAATGCCATCAGACCTAGCAGTTTTGCTCTGGATCTGGTTGTGATCCTTAAAAATTTCTTTGTCTTTCTTCAAGGTCCGTAGTCACTCTTGGTTGTAATGGGGAAGGTAAATACTCTGCTTTGTTAAAAGTGCGGTGCTGCTGTGATTCTTACTGCCATTTTTGTGTCTTAGAACTATTTTCAGAAGCTGGAAAAGTTGTCTGCAGCTGAGGAGATGCATGGTGATGGTCCAAAAAAAGAGCGCACTAAGTTAATCACCCCACAAGTGGCAAAGTTAGAGCATGCCTACAAGCCAGGTAAATGCTTTTTGTGCACTGGGGGATGGGCCAACACATACAGTAGAAGGATGGACCAGAAGTCACAGCTGGAGTAGTGGGCAAGACTACTTCAGAGCAGAGAAGGTTTGGTTTAAATCAAATTGCCCAGAATCTTACTGACATTCACATAAAGTATGTGTAACTTGCCACTGTGAAAAAATTCCCGCATGCCACAGCTAATTGTGGGTAATTGATGAGCTGCCAGGATGCATTTTAGTCACTTGACTGGTTGCATACTGACATCCTGCACAACCGATGGCCACCCCAGCACCTCCTGAATTAGCTCTGGTGAGCTGCAAGATGTTATTCATGTATTCATTCAACTTTTATACTGCCCATCTGGCTACCAAGGCCATTCTGGGTAGTTCACAGTGTGATAAAAGAATACAAAACCAAAATTAAACATAACAGTCCACGTACAAAAACATCACAATGACTAAAACTAATGTATTGATGGAAGGAAGGAAGGAAGGAAGGAAGGAAGGAAGGAAGGAAGGAAGGAAGGGAAGGAAGGAAGGAATTTATACCCCACCCATCTAGTTGAACGACCACTCTAGGTGCAGTACAATCAAGATAGCGGGACAGATGATAGAAGCACTGAAAAGCCTCTATGCTATGATGCTGTGGTCTCTGGGAAAGCCCATCTAAAGAGCTGTGTCTTCAATAATTGTTTATAAATTCCCAGTGAAGGGGCCAGGCGAACTTTGAATGGGAGATTGTTCCAAAGGTGGTGGTGGGGGTGACCACTGAGAAGGCCTGGTTTCTGGTCTTCTCTTTCTGGTCCCCTCTGGGGGAGTCAGTGCTCTCAACCAAACGGCCTGGGAAGATTAAGTAGGTCGGGTGAAGTTTCCGTAACAATGGGCAGCCCCATGTAAACAGCATTGCAGTAGTTTAATCTTGAGACTACCATTGTATGGACCACTGCCGTAAGGGACCCAGTATCAAGGTAGACACCTCGGTGATTTGCCTCAGGTGGAAAAAGACAGAATAGATGGCAGAGGCTACCTGAGACTCCAGTGACTGTGCTGGGCCCAGATGTATACCCAGACTGCAAACCTCCTTATTGGAGAGAGTATCCCCTCTCCAAAGGAAAGGGAGGCCACACAACTGCAGACCCTAAGGGTCACTCACATGCAGGACTTCAGTCTTGTCCAGGTTGAGCCTCAGTCTGTTATCTCTCATCCACCCCAGAACGGCATCAGAAGAATGGAATGAGAGATAGAGCTGAGTACCATCTGCACAGGAAGCTCCAAGACTCCTGATGACTTGCCCCAGGGCCCTCAGATAGATAGATATTAAACAGTAATAGGGAGATAATTGACCCCTGTGAGTTCAAGGAGTGGAATCATTTTCCCAAGCTGCACTTTCTGAGGGCAGTCCTCTAGGAAGGGCCGGAGCTAGGACAAAGCGGGGCCAGTGATCCCCCAACCCAGAGACCCTGCCCCAGGAGGATACCATGGTTGACTATATCGAAAGCCACGGAAAGGTCACGGAGGGCCAGCAGGGACATCTTGCCTCTGTCGGTCTCCCTCAGAAACTCATCCTGCAGCACGATCAATGCTGTGTCCATGCCATGATGCGGTCTGAACCTGGACTGCGATGGGTTGAGGTCATTGGTCTCCTCCAGGAGTATTTGTCTCATGCAAATCTTATACAGCTATCAGTATGATTCCAGCCACTGATTTAAATAATGGCTTAAATTGCTACAAGTTCAGTTTATGTGATTTCCCCCCCCTCCCCGTCTGCAAAAATTACACTTTTGCTTTCCATAATCTTGGTATATTTCTCAGAATACATGATTTTTCACAATTGCCTTGCCCAGTTGAATCCACTTCCAATAATGCTCTATTCATTGACATTTTCAGGTTCTGAAACTGCTTTTCCAGACACTGGAAGTGTCAATGAATAGAGAATTATTGGAGGTGGAGTCAATCTGGGCAAAGAGATTGTGAAATATATATACTAACATTATAGCAAACAGGAGTGCGCTTTTGTGGACGGGGAGAATCACGTGTGATTAAATCAAAATTCACTCGGATCCCTACCACCATCTACACTTTCAGAGCAAGAGAGGTAAGACCTGATTCTGTCTATATAGAGGGACAGGAGCTAAGATTGCCATTTTAAACCAATCAGCATTCAAGAAAGCTACTGAAAACAATAATGTTTTTGTATATTATTCGGTTCTTCATACACCACCTTATATGATTTGTTACATGACTTATACAATATTAATTCAGCCTATATTTCTTTCATATTGTATTTATTGCCATGCCCTCCCCCCCCATTGAGAGTGGCTGGCATTTGCTAGATGGAGAATTACAGTAGATAGAAAGGTTAACCTAAATTTATACAGAAGCCTGCAAAGCTCCATAAAACTGAGGCACCAGTTCAAGAACTGCTGGGTGCCAGACTGCCCCATGAGTTGAGGTTTCATCACTGAATGGCACCCAGCATTTAAAAACAAGCAATGTCCTGCAAAGTACAGAACCCCCATTCTGGGCAAAGAGGAGAGATCTGCTTATTGCTGTGCTAATACTTTTCTCTCTGTCCTCCCATGCTGATGATCTCTTTCCATTAAAAAGAGTTTCTTTCTTGTCTGCAGCATAAAAGAGCATCATCCATAATGCTGCCTCAGAATATTACCACTCTGTCCCATGTGTAAGCGAGACCTAATAGGCCTTGGTGGAGGGAATAAAAGTAGACATGTGTATACATAAAGAGGAATAGTAGGAACCTCACAGAGATAAGGTATTTGCATAGTCCCAGTGCACAAGTATTCAAGTCAATGGCCTGACAGCACTGTTCACTTGGAGTGAAAATTTAATTGATGGGAACATGAGGCTCTATGAAGAGATGGTAAGCTCTCCAGATAATATTGACTCATACAGTTCCACCTGCAACCTGCATTGTTGTTTTTCCTCTTATGCTTGCAGTGCAGTTTGAAGGCTCCCTGGGGAAACTCACCGTCTCCAGTGTAAATAACCCTCGGAAAATGATTGATGCTGTTGTGACGTTACGAGGTGAAGAAGATGTGAGTTTTCTTTGCTGTAGTGACTTGGATCCTTGATGGGCTTCCTGTCTGTGTTTCTTTTTTTCATCCCAAATAGGGAATCTCTTCATTATCCTCCTGCTAAGACGAGAACTTTTCTAAGCAATAGCAACTTTTCTTACTATCTTTTTCCCTTTCTTCCTTAGGAGACAAAGGAGAAACAAGTTAGAGATAAAAGACGCCACACTCTCTTCATGATTGAGAAGGTGAGCTTAGTGTTAATTCCTGCTCAGTACTAAATGAGAGCCAGAAATTCTGTGTCTTAATAGCACAGTAGCTTAACTGAAATCAGTGATGGTTTTCATGACGCAGGAAACCATGAGTTTAAATACACCGTTTCCTTTCCTCTTGACTGTAGGTAAGAGGTTACTATTTAATTACTAGCCCATCAGATGGTTATGACATGCTTGTATCATTTATTGGGTGAATACCTTACTTACACAGTGCATTTTTGCAAACAAGTACCCTGTTTACCCTAAAATAAGACCTAACCTGAAAACAAGCCCTAGTATGATTTTTCAGGATGCTCATAAGTCCTACTCCAAAAATAAGCTTTAGTTAAATAAAACCCCAAGCTGACTGCCAAAGAATTGATGCTTTTGAATTGTGGTGCTGAAGGAGGCTCTTGAGAAGTCCCCTGGACTGCAAGGAGAACAAACCTATCTATTCTAAAGGAATTCAACCCTGATTGCTCACTGGAAGGACAGATCCTGAAGCTGAGGCTCCAATAATGGCCATCTCATGAGAAGAAAAGACTCCCTGGAAAAGATCCTGATGTTCGGAAAGTGTGAAAGAAAGAGGAGAAGGGGATGACAGAGGATGAGATGGTTGGACAATGTTATCGAAGCGACCAACATGAATTTGACCCAACTCCAGGAGGCAGTGGAAGATAGGAGAGCCTGGCGTGCTGCGGTCCATGGGGTCATAAAGAGTCGGACACGTCTAAGCAACTAAACAACAAGTGAAACCCCGCCCTCCACCATTGTGCAGCAACCAGAAGATGACATGACTGCATTTGAGTAAAGGTAGATGGTTGTACATGACAAAAATAAACCATCCCCTGAAAATAAGCCCTAACGCGTTTTTTGGAGGAAAAATTAATATAAGACCCTGTCTTATTTTCGGGGAAACAGAGTATTTCAGAAATCAGGTCTCTCAGCTAGACTGTGTGCTTCTAGCACTAGAATTATATAGAATGTCATGTGACATGTAGCTATCATGTCTGTATCTAAGCCCACCTTTTTGATCATCAGACTTATAGCCTCCTCCTGGATGTAGAAGACTATGAGAGGCGTTACCTCTTAAGCCTGGAAGGTGACAGGCTAGCTTTGATGGAGGAGAGGAAGCAGAAGATATGTGACATGTATGACAATCTGAAGGGAAAAACACCCAACCAGGAGAGGTAAGAAGCTGTCCAGTATAACAAATTAGTACAGTTTCAAAGAAGTTAGAGCTTCCTCCAGATTTAGCCTCTTCAGTTCTTTTTCAACAAGAAGGGGCCTTTTTTTGTTCTTGCTGGACTCCTTATAGCAACGGTGAGCAACATGAGCTTGTAGGCTGCATGTATCACCTCCAAGGTACTTGGGATGGAAAGTGCTCACCCTTGCTTTACATGCAGGGGGTAAGAGGTGTATCTCAGTGCCACTTGGAAGCAAGAGAACAGTTTGCTAGTATTTTAAAATTGTATGAGGCAGTGGAAGTTTTGGAGATAAATGATAAATTGACAAAAGGAACAATGTAAAATGAATAGGAGCCACGAAACATGTATCAGTAGTGGTATCAGAAACTAGCTTAATTCTAAGATATAACTGTCTTTCAATGGCTGGAATCCTGTTGTGCAGTTATGAAAATAATGTAACTTTTAGAAGTGAATTGCCATAAGTTTTTAAAACTCTCTGTATACATTATCTATTGCTTCCTGAATCTCATGACTTGGTGTGCAACAGTTAAGGTTTATGGACATTCTTTAACTTACAGCACTTCACTTCCAAAGGTTATGCTATTTGCATAAATAAATGCACAAAAGGAGTTTAGCCATCATTTCCTTCTGCCGTAACCGTGTGTGTCCAGGTGTGCAGGCAGTAGGTAGTAGGCTGCCAGCTTCAACACTTTCTTGATAACATTATTCTCTTTTTGATCTGAAAAGGATGAGCTGTTTCATTTCAGCAGTAGACATGTGCATGAGAAACTAGGGAACTCACCATTTTAAAGGCTCAGCATATGGGGACAAACATACCTGTAATTCCTTCCAGAACTGGAAGAATGAGATGTTTCTGGAAAGAGCACTGCAATAAAATAGTTAAACAGGTCAGAACAATTTTTACTCCTGGAAGGAAACAGCACGAAAAAGACTGTTGGACTAATTACTTCTAAGATACTGAGTAAAAGCAAAAAAATTATAATACACTTACTACTGTTCTATTTATTTATTTAAAATAGTTATGTGCCACCTTTCTACCAAAGGATCCAAGGCAGCTTACAGTATTAAAAGAAAAAAAGTTGAAAGTCAAATAATAACTTATCACAATATTTTAAAAAGCATTAACAAGTACCATATTAAAAGTCATAATAAGAACTATATGAAAAACACAAGGCTCGCTTCTTTTCCCTTGTCCATTAGTAACCTGGTAGCAAGTGCTGCTGCTGCAGTTGTTGCTTTCTGTGTTGGTAAGGCTTACAAAAAGTACTTCTTCCTTTTGTGTGTGTGTGTGTGTGGGGGGAATTCAGCTTCTTTAATCCTCTAGCCATCCTGGCCTCTAAGGGAAGGACTCTGCAAGTTGTACTCCAAAAAAGTAATTTTTCCAAGCTCTGCAATGTCCGGTTCTAGGTTTGGGGAGTTTTCTCTTGGATGTGCTTCTCACACTGCTCTAGTGTCGACCTGGCTTTTAAAATCCTTTGGAAGTGGTTTTATCATTAAAAAAATTAGTTGATTGCAACTGTGGTCATCACTGTACCCACTGCAGTCTTATTCATGCAAGTCTCCTTTAGGTTCAGAATGATTTTGCAGAGGTTACTAGATGTCTGCCACCATGAAGAATGAGGAATGCTTTTTGAGATGGATTGGTTCTGTGTAAGCAGGTGCAGCCACAGCTTGAAGAATGACTCGAGGATACAGAGAAAAGGCCTGCTGCGCCTGTTGCTCGGAGGGGAGTTCCTGGAAGAGGGAGGGGAAGGTTGTCTTCTCTTGTGATCTGGTTCTGTCTAACAAGGATTTGCATGCTGTCTAACCAGCAGGCCAAGCGATGATCCTTTTGTGCAGATTATGTGCATTCGGAAAGGAAAACGTCTGGTAGCCCGGACCCTCCCTTTCTTGTCCACTGAACAAGCAGCAGACATACTTATGGCAACAGCCAGGAATTTGCCCTTCCTAATCAAGAAGGACGCTCAGGATGAGGTAAGTACAAGAGACGGACATTGCTCCAGAAGGAACACCTTGCTTATTAGCAGTATTTCTGGAGTTCACTTCAGTATTTTCCATCCTCTCTTAACCAAGGAAGAGGAAACTAACATGACACCATTAGGATTAGTTGATTGCTTTGGATTAACTGAAGTCAACATTCAAGTAAGGTGCTACGGCTGCAATCCAGGAACACTTTTGTAGGAGCAAGCTCCAGTGAATTTAGTGGGACTTACTTCTGAATAAACATGGATAGGATTGCTATTTGTATTTTCAGTGTTTTTCTTTTCCCAAACTGTAGTCACAGATGGCCCACTTTTAATGTTCTGGGTAAGGCAGCCAGAGAACATCCTTATTCACATCTCCTCCTCTTATATTATTTTCAAGGTAATGGCCAAAATCCTGGTGCTTATTGTAAGCCAAGTTGTAACTTTCAGTCTGTTGGTTTCTAATACACAAGGCATCCCCGCTGCTATCCTTGGGACAGATGCATGGCTTGGTGTGTGCCCTTTGAATTGCAACAAAGATGCTTTGTTTACCAGGAAGGAACAGACAAAAGGTTATGACTAACTGGATTTTGGCCAGTGACTTATTTTAACTTTTAGCAGTAGATATTTCACACGTTAGTTGTTCTTTCTCCATCCTGGTGTTAAATACGTTATTCACTGTTCTTCAAATGTAGGGAAGTAGTACCAAAGGAGTAAGTCTGAGAAAACTATATGAATCAAAAGACTAATGAAAAGTTCAAGGAAGACAATGTAGACAGTACTTGCTTTCTAACAACATAAAAATGTAGGTGGAGAGTTAGTTTTATACCCGTTATTCCCTCCTCTGGTTGTGTCCTTTATATGCTATAACGAGTTATTCTCAGTTTTCACAGAGATGATACTCTGTTTCTGCTTGTGTAAGAAAAACAAAAGTAATGTGGCACCTGAAAGACTAACAGATCCATTTCAGTATGAGTAATCTTAAACAATTACTGAGAACAGACAATACAAAATAGATACAGAGAAAGGGGACTAGACCCTGCTAGAATCCTAAGTGTCATCTGGGTCATCACATCGACTCTTGCAGCACCACTAGGTCCCAATGACGTCACCTACAACATTAGGGGCTCTCTTGCTTGTTCATCTGGTAATGTGACCTATACTATCCTTTGCTAGCAGGAACCCCACTACATTCCACCCTGTTTCCCCAAAAATAAGACCTAACCTGAAAATAAGCCCTAATATGATTTTTCAGGATGCTCGAAATATAAGCCCTACCGTCAAAATAAGCCCCAATTAAATCAAACCCCGCCCTCCACTATTGCGCAGAAACCAGAAGAAGATGACATGACCATATTTCATATAAGGGGAAAAATCCCCTGAAAATAAGCCCTAGCACTGTTTGAAAATAAGCCCTAGTGTGTTTTTTGGAGCAAAAATTAATATAAGACCCTGTCTTATTTTTGGGAAAACACGGTATATAGGTCAGATAGGACAGTCTCTGTGCAAGAGAATAAATGGACACAAACCTGACATCTGTAGCGGCAACATAATCAAACCCAGTTCCATAATGTCTCAGTCTGCCAGGACACTATGGCCAAAATCCTCTTGCATAGTAATTGGTAATGGTAATTTTTGGAAGCAAATTGCCCCATGTTAAGAAATCACTGTAGACATTATCAGTTGCAGAATGAATCATTCAACTCAGCATACAACTAATAATGTCTACAGTGATTTCTTAACATTGGGCAGTTCATTTCCAAAAGTCATGCTGAAGTGAATTGTGAAAGCTCACATTGAAATACACAGCACAATTCCCCACAGGTGTAGCACTGTGCACAATCCCCAGCTTACAGTTGTGCACATCAGCAGTCTCCTCTGCTGAAAACAACAGCACTTCTGCACATGCAGAAGGGTGGTGAATACTCCCTTGCACAATGCCAGAACAAGGAAAACTATGCACACAATGGACCCTTTTGTGCAGATGGTGAAAGGACAGGATTCTGACCTTATTCTTTTATGTTGCCACAGTACCTCCGTTTTTCTTTTGTTATACTGTAAATATCACCTTCAGTACATACAGCCATGGCCAAAAATGTTGGCACACTTTCAATTCTGTCAGAAAATGCAGCCCTTCTCTCAGAAAATTGTTGCAGTTGCAAATGTTTTGGAACTCACATGTTCATTTTGCAGTTTGCAAAAGAGAGTGGTCCAAAATTCCAGTAGAGAGGTGTAAGAAACTCATTCATGGTTACAGAAAGCGATTGATTTCAGTTATTTTTTCCAAAGGGGGTGTGACCAAATATTAAGCTAAGGGTGCCAGTAATTTTAGCCAGTGCATTATTGGGTTTCTGTGTGGGATTGTATCAGATTTGACTTTTCTTCTCTCTCTCTCTGTTTGTGTGTGTTGTTCCAATGCAAACCAAAGAAATGAACATGTGAGTACCAATACATTTGCAACTGCAACAATTTTCTGAGAGAAGGGTTGCATTTTCTGACAGAATTGCAAGAGTGTCAATATTTTTGGCCATTACTGTAGTTCATTTTAAGACCTGCAGCCAATGTAAATTTTAAAAAAATCTTAATACAACCTTATTAAAATACCATTTGCCTCTCAAGTTAGGTTAGGCTAAGGGTTAATAAAGAGATCCCTAGCTACCAAAGGGTCAGGGATCTCTTTATTCTGCCCTGGCTTCTCATATCTCTGCTGTTTCCAACCTGCACCCTTCACGTGTTTGGGGCGGCCACTCATATTATCCCTCATTGTTGGCCACGTTGGTTGAAGCTGATGGGAGTTGTTGTCTAAAATGTCTGAAGGGACTTTGTTAGGTAAGGCTGCTGTATGATCTTGTGCTAAATCCTTCCCTCTAGGGAAAACTTGGTGGCAAATATTACCTTGTATTAGATCTCTTGAGCTCTTTAGCAAGATTAGTTGGTGCTCTTGATTGAGATGAGACTTCAGTCTTGGTAACTTTGATTGATTTCACAAACTCTCTATATGAGTTCTCCTCTCTTTGTCCTTCATCATTTGTTTCGTTAATATTCTTTTAGGATTTTTTTTAGGATGATACCACTTTACTTCTGCAGGGCATTCAGAAATCTTTGGACTTGCTTTGAGTCCCTTTCTGGCATTCAGCTGTTCTTGTAGTCCTGTGTATAAACAGTGTGGCTTAACTAAAAAGAAATCTCCTTCCTCAGGTGCTGCCCTGTCTACTGAGGCCCTTCTCGCTTGTTCTCTACCATCTTCCACTGGGAACAGTGGCCAGCATCCTGCGGCAGCTAATGAATCTACCTCAGAACACAACAGCATCTGCCCCTGCCAACCTGCATCTAATGGCGGTGCTCCAGAACAAGGTGCCTGTTTTCTTCTGTGCCGCATAATGTGTTATGTGTTGGTTCTGATTTAGAGCTGTACTGCTATGGATGCAGGAGATGCTACTGTTGGGTACTAAAGACAGATGGCGTTTCTTCATCCTCTTTGTTAATAAGAACTAGAGCATTTGTTGTGTAGAGTATTGGTTCCAGACTTTCTCTTTCCCTGCAAAGGTTATTGGGGAGAGGAGGAAAGCGACATAACTAAGAGATCAGGGTATTCCTATCTGTGTTCTGCTCTTCTTTGCCCAAAGTTGCATGGGAAGAAGACTGCTTACAATCACAATACCAGAAGAGGTTCCTTTGCAACCTCAGCTCACTAATGCTCTTGGGATCACTACATTTCCCTTATATCACAGAATAATTTGTAATGCCCCTGTAATTACTTATTTTATGTAATTGTCTGTGGGGTTTTGTATTTTGTTTTTTTAAAACTGTTCTAGACTTTTAAATCCTACATGGGAGTTACTTAAACTTTTAAAATCAAAGAGATATAACGTAGAAATCAATTTTTACGAGACATGTGTGTGCACGGAGTTGCTCACTGAATTCATCTTCTTTTTCCCTGCAGTTTGGCCTCTCCCTCCTGTACCTGGTCTTGAGCCGTGGTGAAGAACTGCAGAGTTCAGACACAAATGCAGAGCTCACACAGGACAACCAGTGGTGGGTCTGAGGAGCTTCCACCAGCAGGAATTCTACATTCAAACACTTTCTTTTAAAATAACATGTTTAGAGTGTGGCTCTATCACAGTTTTATATACTGGGGTAGTGGCGACTGTGTACATCGTGCCCCTCCTTCAGAGAAGCTCCAAAGGGTCTTTTGTCCTCATCAGTCTCCTATGAGCTTAATCAGACTGGGCATATGACTTGTTCAAGGCCTTCAGCTGACTGTCACCACTGAGCTGTGGTTTGAATCAGGATATCTGTTCCCTGCCCTTGGATGCCCACCTGAGAGAGGTTCAGATGTGTCAGGGAAGCTGAGAGTGAGATCCCCCCCCCAGGAGACTAGGCAGTGCTCTGAGTCTAGACACCCTGCAGGGTCATCCCATTATGGAATGATCACAGCACTGTTGAAAAACCAGTCTAAGATGCATTCATACTCTTCAAGAATTAATGGTTGCATCTGACAGAAGGGAATCTATTTCTGGTGGAGAAATTCTGAAGGGTGCCACTGGAAAGTGACACTGGCAGAGGATCTTTAACAGACAGCAGCAGTGGCACTGAAGCTGACTCTTGACAGTGCTATGCAGAAGGCGCCAGTGGCAACTTGGGGCAGGAAGGTGTACACAGGACAGAGACCTTGGATCTATGGTGATTGCAAGCAAGTTCCAATAAGTTGGAGCCACCAGTGTATTCAGTAAGCATTCCAGTGATTTCTATCAATTTCTCTTTCTCCCTCTAGGTTTCTGTTCTGTGTACTTCACCTGCCTGCCTAAAGTTGGTGCTGTCAGAAACATAGCATTGTAATACTCCCTTCCACAGTTGTTGCTGTCATATCTAAGAGGCTGCTGAAGGGCAGAGAACATCACATGAACCTTCTTTTTCCTTTAAAAAAAATCAACACATCTTGTTGGCTTAATCTGGCAATAAATTAATACTGTAGACATGAAAACTAAGTGATGTTGCTTCCAGAGCAAACTACTTCCATGTCCTGGATCAGACAGAGCAAACTATGTTCTGACCTCCATCCCTCGTACTTTGTCTTTGGCAGGACGGAATTAATGTTCATGGCAACTAGAGAGCTGCTCCGAATCCCCCAGGCAGCCTTGGCTAAGCCAGTGTCAACTCCCTCCAATCTCTTATCCCTCTTCTCTCGCTATGTCGATCAGCAGAAGCTGAATGTGCTAGAAACAAAATTGCAGTAAGTATGTCTTCTTATCCATATACTGTATATATATAAAAGAGAGAAGTGATAGCAGAAATAAAAGAGAAGGAAAGAGGGACATTGATCCCCAGAGATGCGAGACAAAGTTCTCAAATCATGAGGGGAGGTGGTTTGTTTTTATCTAATGCAGGTATGATCCCCATGTGGTCCAAGAGTCATAAGCCCTCCTGGAGGCTCAAATACAACCCCACACATATGCAATGTCAATTTTATGGAGGGAAAGTTCCATTGTGCCCTCTAGTGCTGTGAGGGAGCAATATTTGTACATACGTACGTACATACATACATGTGTGCATGCGTGCACAGAGATGCTACAAGGTGCCAAGGGGTTTCTCCATTTAAAAAAAAATTGTGAGACTTGGGGAGGCCTTGGATGTAATGAAAAGAGGATGCCGTTCTCTTATCAAAGTTAAAAGAGAAATATTACATGCTGACAAATAACCTTGAACATTTCACAGAAAAAATTATGGTCCATTGATGAGCAGTTGTGGCCTCTGGATCCCTGGAGATTAGCCACCCTAAATCTAACCACACAGTAAAGTGGAATGAGATAAACCTGAATGTGAAGCAGTCGTAGTAATGCATTGCTAGAAGCTCATCAATAGCATGAGGTGCTCAGTCTTCTGTGCCTGGGAAAAGAATTCACTTCATCTCCGGCATCTCATCTCTGAAGACATTGGCCAAAATCCTGTTACTTGGCCTAGTAAATTCTGCTAGAGTATGCCTGCTGAATTAGTGGGGATTTCATTGAGTCAATTCCTCCATTAGTTCCATTGATTCAAATAGGCCTACTCTAGTGCAAGTTAATAGGTTGAGCTGCAATTTTGGCTATTGTATGAATACAAAACTGGATAAAATGCTTTTCTGAGCATCTTCTGGACCTGACTGTTTTTCCTCCATCCATCTACAGCAGAAACAAGATGCTTTATCTTTCTAGTCAATACTACTGCTCCCTGTCTGACACGTTTTGTTCTTAACTTCTGCTATTTCAGATTGATTCAAGAAATACGGTAGAAGGCCTCAGATGCTGTTATGCTGGTTTCCTTCATTCATCGCTGCCACCTCCAAAGTATTTTAGTGGGCAAAGAGGAGGCAGTGCCTTCTCTGAGTAAATCCTTGTGGGATTATGTTTCTGGCCCAGCACAGAAGATTGCTCTCTTGCTCTGAGCTTGGCTGGGGATGTGCTTTTCTTCTCCACCCCCTCATTGCTGGTTTGCTGTTCTGCATGTCCTCTTTTCCCATCACATTTTCATAAAGATTTTCCTTCCCTTCCCAGACCCAGGTTTTCCACCACTCTGCTGCTAGGCTGACAGAGAGTTCTGCCTGTCTGCTCTGTTGCTAAGATCACTGGCTGTGTGTGCGGGGCGGGGGTACCTAATCTAGCTCTGTGTCCCTTAATGGTGGTAATTGAGAGACCAGATGCTTCTGTGTCTCTTCTATGTTGGAGTGCTTAAATGCTTTTGATTGGCCCACTGGTAATCTTTCTCCTCTTCCAGTGCCAGATACCATATTTATAGCAACACCTGCTCCCTACAAAATAGTAACCTTTCTTAACCTTGTGATGAAGCAACATCAGTTTTGCACATTTGTCTAGTCTTCCTGAGACTTATTTTCTGAGTTCTTTGTCTCTGACCTACATCTTTGCTTCTCGCTCCAGCTGGCCAAGATCCCCTGTAGACTAACCAATAAGGTACCAGGAATGAATTCACCTGGAACAGATTAATCTTAGTGAATTATAAACTGCTAGATCCTGCTGTTTTCTTGCTACTTTTTTGGAATGTGGTGAGATTTTAATTTTTACTTTGCTTTTAAAAAACAATTTGCACAAGTAGGTATTCTCCAGCCAGTAAATCCCTATTACTAACTGGTGGCCTCTCCACACTATTTTCCTTACATCTTCCTTCCTCCTCTCCTTTCAGATTTCTACCACTTATTTTCCTTTATATTTTCTTATCTTTTCTTGATCCCTTCTTCCCCCCTTACTCCTTTCAGTACACACGATCAAGTGGTCCATTATTATTATTATTATTATTATTGTGCTTTTACTTTGGTTTGGTTATGATTAATGAAAAATTTCTAAATTTACATTTTTATAGGGTATTGTAAATAAAAAAAATTCTATACTTGTGGAGCATGCGTGTTGTGGTGTTATGTATGAATTTTGATTTTCTGTAAAGTGGTCCTCTCTGTCGCAGACAACTTAATGCAGCAGCGGATTTGAGTGTGGTTGAGGTGGTTGCGCTTAATACAGGAGTGAAATGCAAATAAAAGCTTCTTGATCTGTAGCAGAAAAATGCAGTATGAATGGATAACTGACAGGAGCGAGCAGAACTAAGAGCACTGCAATGGAAGATGTTCAACTTGACTACAGTGAATGTAGAACACTAGGGGTCAGGTTTGTTAACTTTTGTTCTAGGCTGCTACCATCACTAACTCATACATCCTATTCTTGCTACCAGTGGTTTCTAACAAAAGTATGTTCCTCAAGATTTGTGTCCTGGGCACAAGGATCGTGTACAATGGCACATGAATAGGTTTTTGAGCTTCCCCTGTTACCAATCAGCTTAAAAACAGTATTTTACTCTGAAGATCTAGAGAATTGCTAGGGGAGGATGTTGCCACCTTTATACCAAGTTTCCCTAAGCTTGAGGCAAAGGCAGCCTTCTTGTCAAAGGATACAGATGTTTGTCTAGCTGCTGAGTCACATTTCCTAGGACTGCCAAAGAGCCTAAGAAAGATGGCTGTACTTGTGATGTCAGTCAGACTTTACAGGAGCTATGAAATAAGGCTGGCTTTTCAGAGAATAAAAACTGAGTCTAAAATTGGCTTTTCTTTCTCAGTACAAATTTGAACCAAGCCAAAAGCAGAAATTGGTTTTATATGTTCAATAGCTTAAGGAATTGAAATGAGAGGACATTAGGCCAAAAAAAGGGGGAGTGGGGCAAATAAATATTTATTTATTTATTTATTTATTTATTTATTAAATTTATATCCCGCCCCTCTAGACCAGGTCTACTTGGGGCGGCTTACAGCATAAAATAAGACAATATAAAATATTGTGGAATGATTGTTATTATTGCGTTTTTCTAATGCATTTCAATGAGGATTTAAGATAGTTTGCCCTTTAAACAAAGATGAAAAACTAAGGTAGTAATGTTAATTTTTTCCCAGGGTTTTAATGGTCTCTCCAGGGCACATTGCCCCCTCTAGACTTTTCAGCCCTTCTCCTCAAGCTATAGGGGTACTGGTGAACATCAGCCAATGTGGATTTTGACTCTCACTGATGACAGCATCCCCAATACTAGTTTACATTTACGGGGATGGGGAGATAATACTTTTTAAAAGGCTGAGATAGCCAATGCATTCTCAGCCTGGAAAGTAAGAGAGAAACAAGAAAAACAATTTTAAAAGAAAAAAATATGGACCCAGTATAGCATAGGCATCCTTCAGTCTCGAGAGACTATGGTAACATGCTCTGAATCGAGGAGTGTCCTCTCCAGAGCATGAAGCCTGGGTAAGGTAATATGGAGGATAGGCTGTTACCCAAGCAGCAGATCCCCCCTCTCCACATTGCTGAAATGGTCCAATGGAAAGGCAAGAGCCAATACAACTGGTTCCAGCAATGTCGCAGGAGTTGGCAGAACGACACATGCTGCCTTCGGGACTCCAGCTCCGGATTTTGCCTCGAGGTTAACTCCTGAAGCCTTTTCCATGAGTGGATATAGCCACAAGGCAGTGGAGGTTTGAAATTGGAGTTTTCCTTCTCCTAGATGGGCTGCCTTCCATGGCTGACGAGCCCCACCTACCCGGCCTGGACCCAGTATTGGTGTAAATAACAACAGTCCATTCATGGGTGATTGTCTTGTCACCAAATGTGATGGAAGCCAAACCAGATATATGTCTTTCACATTACCATGCCTCCACCACGTAGAAATGCAGAGAACCAGGCAATACATGTGGCGAGGAAAACACCATCCTGCAGACTAATAATACACAGGTTGCCTGGAGCAGGAAAGCTTATAATTTTTCCTTACCCTTACCTACACAGCTACCATAATACTGCTTAAATAAGGGGCATTTCCAGAGGAAGCCTCCCATCACAGAGAACTATGATCAATCTAACTTCCATTTTGGAATGTTCCTGTGTCTCCATTCCAACTCCATGCTAAGTCTCACTCTGGAAATAAGTGCCCAACACTTTGATTATATTTCTTAAATCAAAAAAAAATCCTTTTATTGAATTTTCAGTAAAAGCCGGGGGGGGGGGAATTTGATCTTGACTCTTACTGAATAAAAATGAACTCACTGTATAGACATTATAACAGAACTTGACATGGTAAGAAGCAGCCAGAAAGCTTGGAGACTACAGAAAAGACTGAACAATGACAAAAGGACACAGTATCCAAATATAACCCCAGACAAATAACATACTGTGGCGTCTGCCCAGGTCATGACTATCCATATGCTATCTGCATAGATCAATGGGAGAGCTGGAGGGTGGGGTCACGAGATATAAGAAACTTAGCAGGGGGAGGGAATTAGGGAGTTGAAGAGATTGAGAGAGAGTTTTGGAAGTTTGGGTGGGAGTGGTGGTTGAAAGTGGATGAAGGGGGATGTTTAAGAGTTAACATTGCTTGAAGTATCTACTTCTGTAACAATAAATTTCTATTTGGTTCTTTTAAAGTGACATGTGGCCTGAACCTCTATCATTAATAATAGATAATGTTGATGTAATTAACTGGTGGCAGCTGAAAGACACGTAGCGTGAGCTGTTAGTTTGGTGAAACAAGCAGGGGCCACTTGGGGATCATGACACATACCAACAGGGAAGACCAACGAATGCATAATAAAAATAATCCATTAAAGGGATATTCAGAGTGAATCAAATGAACATAATCCTAATCCTTGTCCTCATTTTAGAACTGCATTGCTGGAAGGAACCCAATGGATTGGCAAGTCCAGGCCCTGCCAAGGAGACACAATGGGGAATCAAACTCCCAGTCTTGGACTCCGCAGTCAGATGGCTAAACTACTGAGTATTCAGCAGTTCTGCTGGTGTTTCTGTGTTCATATTGCCTTCATATTGGTGGAACTAGAGGAAGCCAGAACAAGATGCAGAAGTGGCAAAGCAGCAGGACTCAATTATATGTGAATTGAGCATTTTGAGCAAACCACAAAGGAATGGCTCCTTCAATTCTTTAATAGATACTGGAAGAACAAACAAATTCCAAAAATATTAGTGGAAGGCAACAGTAAACACTACACTGAAATCGGGCAAAGAACCATCAGATCCCAAAAGCTACAAGCCAATCTCTCTACTATGCCACTTATAAAAAGTGTTTGAACAAATAATATTAAACTGTCTAGCCCCTAAAACTGAACTTCTTCAAATTCCAAATATTTAAAGCTAAACACAATAAGTATACAAGGCTCAAACAAACACCACTCTAAAAAATGGTAAACAAAAGCAGTATTAAAAACACATTCAAAGTAGTAAAGCATAACAATCCGTTTAAAAATCCCGCTCAGGCAGCCAGTCACCAAGGGGAAACTTGTGTGAAGAGAAAGGTCTTTGCCTCTTTGCATAAGAACAGCAAAGATGGGGCCTGTTTGGCCTCCTGTGGAAGGGAGCTCCACAGTGTGAGAGGAGTAACAGAGAAGACCCTCTCCTGTATTCCTACCAAACATACTTGTGAAAGTAGTGAGACTGACAGAAAGGCCTTTCTTTAATACCTGCACAGGTTCATAATGGGAGACATGGTCTTTAAGATAGTTTAAGGCCCAGGTCATTTAGGGCTTTATAGGTTAGGACCCGTACTATGAATAGTGCCCAGAAATTGACTGGCAGCCAGTGGAGCTGCTGTAACATACTGTAATAAGTATGTTATTTTTGGTTGCAATGTTCTGTTTGGTGTTTAGACAATGTTTTTTGGAGGTCAGCATTCAGTCCAGAGTGACACTCAAATACTATGGGGTAAAGCGATGTTCCAAAATCTTGCCTTCCCAGCTAACTCAGCACTTCCTTCTATTATTTAATTGGAAGGCACAGCCTAGGGTTTTTAAAGAGTTTTGTTTCAGCTGGTCATTTTTATAATATAAGAAAATATATTCTAATGCAGAGTTTATGTACCTGGTGCTCAATGGCCTCAAAAGTTCCCCCCTGGACTATCAAGGCAAGATCATTGACATAGATGAAACTCCTGGAGTATGGAAATGTTGGTTGGCCATTTGTGTAAATGTTTTAACAAGTAATGGTGCCAGTCTTTGCTGGAGGGAAGGTGGAGTACCACAGGACATGAAGAATGCAAACATCATCACATTGTATAAGAACAAAGGAGACAGAGGCGACTTCAATAACTACCGTGGCATCTCTCTTCTCAGCATTGTAGGGAAGCTGCTTACCCGTGTTGTTCTGAAGAGGCTCCAGGTGCTTGCAGACAGAGTCTATCCAGAATCACAGTGTGGATATCAAGCTAACAGACCCACCACTGACATGGTATTCTCCCTCAGACAGTTGCAGGAGAAATGTAGGGAACAACAACAGCCACTCTTTGTGGCCTTCATAGATCTTACAAAGGCTTTAGATTTGCTTAGCAGGGACAGCCTTTTTAAAATCCTTCCCAAGATTGGATGTCCACCTCGACTCCTTAACATAATCGGGTCCTTCCATGAGGGAATGAAAGGCACTGCAGTTTTTCATGGCTCAACATCAGATCACTTTGACATCCGAGGCAGAGTGAAACAGGGCTGTGTCCTCGTGCTGACCCTGTTTGGGATCTATTTTGCTGTCATGCTGAAGCACACCTTTGGAACTGCAAGAGGTGTCTTATTTCCAGACTAGATCAGATGGAAAGCTCTTTCATCTCTCTAGATTGAGAGAAAAGACCAAAGTCCAGCTGAAATTGCAGGACTTCCTCTTCGCCGATGATACAGCTGTTATCGCCCACTCTGCTGAAGACCTCCAACAACTCATGAATCACTTTAGCAAGGTCTGCCAAGATTTTGGATTAACAATCAGCCTAAAGAAAACACAAGTCATGGGCCAGGGTGTGGATTCACCTCCCTCTATTACCATCTCCACACAAGGATTGGAGGTTGTTCATGACTTTGTGTACCTTGACTCAGTGATCTCTGACACTCTCTCCATAGATGTCAACCTGGATAAATGCATTGGCAAAGCAGCTACCACGTTCTCTAGACCAAGAAAGACAGTATGGCTTAATAAGAAGCTGACAACATATACAAAGATCCAGGTCTATAGAGCCTGTGTCCTGAGCACACTCCTGTACTGCAGAGAGTCCTGGATCCTTTGTGCACGGCAGGAAAATAAGCTGAACATGCTGCATATGCGTTGTCTCAGACACATTTTTGGTATCACCTGGTAGGACAAAGTTCCAAATAGAGTAGTCCCAGAATGAGCTGAAATTTTTAGCATGTATATATTATTGAAACAGCTTCTACGTGGGTTCGGGCATGTTGTGAGAATGGCTGATGGTCGGATTCCGAAAGATCTCCTGTATGGAGAATTAGTGCAGGGAAATCGCCCCAGAGACCACAGCTGCAATACAAGGAAATCTGCAAGTGGGGTTTGAAGGCCTTAGGAATGGACCTCAACAGATGAGAAACCTTGACATCTGAGCATTCAGCCTGGAGGCAGGCCTCTCCCATTTTGAAGAGACACTTGTCCAGCAGGCCAAGGCAAAGAGGCAGTCCCCAAACCAGCAAAATCAGGGAGCTGGACAGGGGACAGATTGTATTTGTCTTCAGTGTGGAAGGGATTGTCACTCTCGAATTGGCCTATTCAGCCACACTAGATGCTGTTCCAAGACCTCTATACAGAGCACATTACCATAGTCTCTCGAGACTGGATGCCTAATCTAATGGTGCCAGGATACTATCCCGCTTGCTGCTTCCTAAGAATACATGAACACTACCTTTAGAATGTTGTTTGTTACACAGTATCCAAGATGGTTAATTCTAAAAAGTAGACACAAATGTCCATCTTTGCCAGATAGTTGCTCCCAGTAGAATTCTTGTAAATTTAGAAAGCTGCATTATAGTGAACAGTGGTATGGTGTCTACTAAGCTTTTATATCCAGGATGCAGACATCATATGTTGTTTGGCGGTCTGTCCTGGAGCTTGCCAGGAGCCAGGTTGGGCAAACAAGTTAACAGACTCTGCAAGGAACAGCTGCTTGCATTGCCAGTCAATATTAAAAGAGGTGGTCTACACCAAATGGGGTGGCCCTCCCTTTAATTGAAAAGCAACCTGTGAAGAGTAAAGGGAGTTGTAGAAGAAAGATTATCAGAAAAGCCTTTCTGTATGACGTCTAAGTTCTGCACTCTCTTTGTACTGTTTGCCAATGAGAGGCATACGGTCTGGACATGAATGTAAATCTATGAACTTACTGCATTCCTCAGGAGCAAAAGGAATGATCAACAGCAGGAAGACCTTTGACCTCCATGCAAAGTGAAAGAGCTGTGAGGGGCAGCACTTACATAATCAGCCAATACTGAGGACCAAACATACTTTTTCCTCTTGTAGTGGTGGTGAGGATGGCAGTTTGCGATACTCCATGCATCTGAGCTGTGACCCTGCAAGTTGTTAATGCTCAGGAATTGTTTAGAATTAGTAATATGCATAAATTATTCTCCGAGTTGCAAAATTAAAGTGTTTAGTGCAAAATGCCCTTTTACCCAATACCACATATTCTGCTCCCTGAAAGGTTGCTATGAACAAAATGAAATCAGATCTATTAGAAAGAACTAATAACTGGGTAAGATCCAACAATTTGTTGGCACAGCCAAGGCATATGTGATGGAAATCCACATCTGTGGCACACAGCCTTACTGCTCTATGGGGCCAGGGCAAGGATATGTCACAGCTGGACAGAGAAGGGCAAGATGACAGTGAATGGATAAATACGGATATGAATGAATAAGGGGGGGTTGATAACACAGCAAATTTCCAACACAATTGATATTCTTAACACAAAAGAACCACTTAATGTATTTGTTGAACTTTTGGGTTTTTTTATTGACTTTCCTTCAGTGTTAAGCTAGCATTAGTGGTCTGGTGCTGTTGAAAGCTGCAGGATGCAAAATCAAGAGAGGACTCTTCACATGGTATCCAGATCAGCCATCCTGATCTCCATCTTTCTGAGAAAACTGTTGAGTCTGATTCCAGTGAGGCCAATTGGGAGAGGCAGATGCTGAGTTCCCCCAAATAGCTCCTTCCTGGGACAAGAGCCAGTGTGCTGTGATGGTTAAAGGATTATACAGTTAAGTAAGAAATGCATAGATGTGTATATAAAATCTGGTAGCAGTACAGTATAATAAATGTAAATGACAATTTAAATTAACTTAATTGATTATAAAGTTAAACATTTAACTTTTAAATATAAATATAATTGGTGAAAAATGTTCAGCTTTTAATATATCAGTCTTGTCCTACTAATCTTTTCCCAACTCTGGAATGGTAAATGCACGTGTACTGAGAAAGTGACTCTAATTCTGCCCATTTTGGATGTTGATTCTGACCTGGGCTCATGCTATCCTTTAGAGCAGGGTCCCCAACCCCCAGTGTGTGGCCCAGTGCTGATCTGTGGCAGGACTGGGCTGTGGAGACGGACCCCACCCCCTCAACCGGTCCACGGTTCAGAAAAGGTTGGGGACAACTGCTTTAGAGGTGTAATAGGAACAAAGAGAGGCTCTCCATCCATGCTTCATCCGTCAGCCAGCAGATCCTGAATATGGGATAGCATCCTAAAGTTTTTTTTAATCCATAGCAACATGTTAAAAAATCTATTATCATTTTTACTCCCATTCCAATCTGTATCCCAAGAGCAACTGACAGTACTGTGTAAGCAGAACAGACAGTAAAATAAGCTCCAAGATTAGAAAGAGACAGAGTTCAGGATTGCTATCCATATGTAAACGTGGTCCCAATGTAAAAAGATTCAGTCCTTGAGAAATATTTACTCTTCCAATATATTTACCCTTAAAGTAATTAGCACTATTCTCATGACACAGTCATTTTTCCTGAAGCTTCTTACTGTAGTAAACAAGCATGGGAGCAAAAAGCAGTTGAAATGCAAAGCTTATCTGTAACAAACTGGGGCCTCTTAGTCCCAAGCTGGAGAATCACCGGAAGCCTGATATTTGCTCTATTCTGCATTGAGGTCAGAGTATACAGGACTTGCTTCACTCTAGCTGACAGTGTTGGTACATTATTGGAAGTCAGATGTGGGCACCTTTAGACACTCCAGTGGTTGTTGGGACTGCAGCTCTTAGCGGTCCTAACCAGCACAGGCCAGAGGTGCTACCCTACAACATCTAGGACACATGTTGTCCATCCAAGGGCTAAGGAAAGGTGTAAGTGTAGGTAGCAAAAGAGCAGCACCCACAGGAAAGTGGCCTCCCAAGGCCTGCTGCATGGCACCCCTATCTATCTACTGTGATCCCTATTAGCAATCAGAGCCGCTGTTTAGGCTGTTTCTGTGCCCTTGATAGGTGTCCATAAATCATATTCTGAGCAGGCTTGGTGGTGGTAGGAAAGTTCCTCTGGATTTCCTCAGTCAAAGTGCATCAGCTTCCCAACCATCCTGAGCAAACCCATTGTGTGTACATGGGCTTCAGAAGGTCATTTGACATATAACCTTCAAGGCCTAAAAAGTTGTGAACTCTTGGTTTATAGCCACAAAAAGCTCTTCAGCCCATTTATAAAAGATCAAGTATAGCAGAAAGTAATACAGCTTGCTTTCGAGTAAGTAGAAGTGTATGGCGGTGAGCTGGGGAGCCATTTGCCCAAGGCTGCGTCCTGCATCTTAATGAAGGATACCATCTTGCTTATCGTTTACTTTGTCAAATAGAGCGGGATCCATATTAAGTCTTTCTTCTTGCGAACTTGCATCGGATAAGACTGTGCAGCAAGGGTACAAGGTCATTAACGACTGAGGCTCCGACCCCTCCTTTTATGTAAGCACCCACGACCGCAAACACTGGAGTGTCATTCACACCTAGAAACAACAGTCTCCGTTCTACAATGACGTCAGATTAGACACCCCGCCCCGCGAAGCTTCTTATGGGCTGCTATCTAGAAATGGCAGAACAAAAAGCCAATAAGAGGAGCACTTTAAAAAAACCCGGTAGAAGGGCAGTGACGGCGCATGACCGGCCAGTGTGCCGACAAGTCCCTCCCCCTGGATTTTTCCGAACCAGTGGCAGCGGGGAAGGGCGGCACCAATCGGGACTCCGGCCCCCGGAGTGGGTGTCGCTGCTAATGGAGAGGGCTGGGTGACGGCCGTACGCGTACCGTTGAGGGGGGGAGGGAGAAGCCAGGAAGGAGGGAGGTGCTCAGCCTCCGGCCGTTCCTCATCGCTCGTTGGCAGAACGGGTTCGAGCTCGCGAGGGCGGCGGGGCTGCGCTGGGAGATGTCCGAATTGCGAGCAGCGGGACCCGGCCCGGGGACAACGCCCGGCGGAGCGAGCGGCCCCGTTGCCTCCGGACAAGGAGGAACCAGTGGGCCTGGGCCGGCGACTCCACTGCCCTCGCCTGGGCCAGGTGGTGGAAGAGGCGACGGCGGCGGAGGAGGGACACTGGGCCCTGGGGGACCAGCCCCAGGGGGGGTGGCAACGGCTCCAGGGGGGAGTTCTGCTTCCGCTTCCGGGTCAGCGAGCTCAACTTCCGGAGCTGCTCGCGAAGGGTGGCTTTTCAAATGGACCAATTACATCAAAGGTTATCAGCGGCGCTGGTTCGTGCTGAGCAATGGGCTTCTAAGTTACTACAGGTGAGACCTCGCCTCCTCCTACCGGGCCGGCCTCGTGACGCGGAGCCACGCCCATTGTCTTGTTGAGCCACGCCCAGTTTCCCTCCCGAGGCGGGCGCTCCCTTCTTGCCCCTGTCGCCGGCCTGCCCGGGCGCCCCGCCCCCTTCTGTTCGGAGTCCAGGGCGTGCGTGGTGGTGGCGGCATTAATAATAGCCTCCGCGATGGACTTCCTTGCTACGTGGCACAAGGGCAAAGGGTGCCACGTCTTGAGGGTCTTCCTCCTTGGAGACCTCCAGGCGTCTATCTACCGTCCCTGCCCAACTTTTGAGTCAGTCTTTTTTTTCCCGTGGGAAAATAAACGAGGGAAGAATCGTGTCCTTTCTTTCCTCTGCCTCTCTCTGCTCGCTCTTTTCTCTCATTTAGGCTAATTTAGAACATCCATCGCTTGCTTCTACACCTCATGACTGGCCCAGAAAATCCGTGTGCTCTGGCTGGTCAGCCTCGACCTGCTTGGCAACCCTGGCAGTGCCCCTGGGCCTGCTGCTGTCAGTGCTGGAAGCCAAGAGCAGTTGGAGAGCTGCAGGCTGGCTGAGGTTGCTTAGTATTTTAGGACTTGCTTGCGAGATACTGTGTAGTGTGTTCTGCTTGGTATCTTCTACCTAATGAGTGCCCTGTTGTGTAATGAATAGAGTGATGAACTAGGGCTCAGATAACCTGGGTTCAGAACCCTGCTTGGCCATAGAAACTCACAGAGTGTGTAACTGGTAAAACCAGTTGTTAAATATCTCACTTGCCTTGAAAGCCTTATTATGGTAACTATATTGATTCTGACATGACAGCACATGGCACACCCACCTCTTGATCTTTATTTGTGAGAGAATGTTGCACAATTCAGAATTATGGATGTATATGAAATATAGGTAAAACTAAAATCAAATTAAATGTTAAGATTAATTAAAATGTTTTTTCCAGAAGTGGACTACTTCAGTAGCGTTATCTCAACCATTTGCTAAATCTTCTTTTGTACACGTGATGGGGCATAAATTGCATGCATGTAGGTCCTGCATTCATTGAATTTCTCCAGTCTAAAAAAAAATTGTCCTGTATCCAAGTAGCCCCATTTTACTTGATTATTCTTTGATCTTCCTACTTTGAAGTCTATTCAGTGACTTCCAGATGGTCCAACTAGAGTCTTGTCCTGGTGGGTGGAACTCTTCAACGTTTATCTACTTGGCAAGGTTTTTATACTCCATAGGTTTAGCCTAGCTTCTTCTGGTTTAATATTTAGACCTTGAGATGTGTGCACCCCAATGAGAAAGTAGCAGCAGCATTGACATGACAGTGTAAGATGGATTCAAAAATGGGTTGTGAATCACAGATTGCTAAAAGCCTAGTATGCTAGATGTAGCAGCTGTAGCAGTAAAAAACTATGACTAAACAAATGCTATTACAGGCAGTGCTAGCAGTGAGGCTCATGTTACTAGAAAATGATTTGTCTTTACATTGTGTATGATTATATAGGAGAGAGATTCCTTCCAGTATATTTAGAGCTCCTTACAAAGATTGTTTGGTAAATATGTCCTAACTGTTAGGACTGAGAGCCAAGCTAAAAAGAAAAAAAGGGGCAAGGCCACATTTACAAGGTGGATGTGGGAACTAAGGAATAGTAAAGTCTTAGTAGTGGCTTACAAAAAGGCTAGGATACTAGTGTTATAAACCACTGTTGTAATAATGGCAATGACAAGATCCCATTTACTGTACATTACTTCCCCATTAGACTGTAAGTCCATAGATGCTGATCTTTCAGCTTTCTCAAGGGATGTTTTGGCTATTCCAGAAACCAGTACTTATTATGCATTACATGCTGCTTTAAATGGCTCTGTGTAACTTTCGGTGCTGTGTTATCTCCTTGCCCCACCTTTGTTCTTTTCTATAAATATTAATTCATGTTGCTGCAGTGGAATCAAGACCTGAAATGTCTGTTGCTTTAGTCCAAGTCTTGTGTGTACCTCTTTTTTAAAAAATCAGGTGATCTGTATGAGTATTTTTGTATGCTTTATCCAAGCTCTTAGTGCGAGAACTGCTAAGATAAAATCAGGATGGTCTAGGGAAAGGCTATTATTCCTTTTATATAATTAGGTTAATGAACAAATTGTTTGTATTTAATTGTAATTTTTTTTATCTTTTATCAGTCACCCAGGAAGTATCCTCAGTTTTGTGCACAAATATGGTAAAATTCAAAGCATAAAACCTTATGGAATGCTCTGAGCCTTTGGAGTGACTAGTTAGGAGAAGGATTAAGTTTTCATTTTTGCCTAGAATTTGCTTATATAGCTGGGTGGCTCTGTGGTCCAAAGGGACAGTGAACGTAAATGGCAGAGGGATGAATAGCTAGCACTCACCATGGAGAAGACTGTAGGGGACAGAATTAGCTCTACAATCTTTGTTTCCCTGTTGATAGGCATGCTTGAAACAGTCTTCCACAACACTAGATACATCTAAAGATAAAACAAAAATGTTGTTGGTCATAATAAATCAGCTTGGAAAATTTATTATTATTTTATCTAAAATATTTTTACCCCGGCTTTCTCCTTAAGAGGACCCAAGGTGGCTTACATCATTATAGGTCAATATTTAAAGCCAAAAACAGTACGTATACAAATGCTAAAAAGAGTCAAGCAAATACCACACTAAAAATGGACAAACAAAAGTAACACCAAAAACACATTCAAAGCAGTAAGGTACAACCATCCACAAAAAAAAACCCCTCTCAGGCAGCCAGACATTAAGGGAAAGCTTACCTGAGGGTAAAGGTCTTCATCTGTTTATAGATGGACAGTATAAATGGGGCTGCCTAGCCTCCCGTGGGAGGGAGCTCCACAGTTTGAGAGAAGCAATAAAGCAGTTCACAGAGTTCGTTAAACTGCAAAATAAAAGCTACAACCTCTTCACATTCCACTAGGTCACTGCCACCCTAATAGTATCACGATGGCAAGCATGGAAATGGAGACTAAGAACAAGTCTTCAACAAATAGATTGGAAGAGATATGGAAACAGAACTACAGTATTCTCCTCAGCTTCTTCTCATATGGAAATGCAGTGGGTTGACAAAGGAAAAATGGGGTGAACTTTTTGGCTCTGTCTTTTCAGCCATCCATAAGTAATTCTGTGTCCCTTATAGATGCCAGGCAAGCTATCAAATATGAGGTAATACTAAAGCTTTCCACTCTTTAAAGTGCCACAAGACTGTTCTGCTTATCGTAACAGACTAATAGAGCTACTTCTAGCTTTCTTTAGTCATTAGCATACTATGCTTACCATATGTGGAGTGTAATTCCACTGTTTCCAGTTTTGTTGCTCCCCCTCATATGGAGAGCAAGGAGACTGAAAAGAAGAGTCTCTGTCATTCTGGGGGTTTTCCATGTGAGTTGGAATACTAATTTTCCAGGATCCCAACTTATGTAGAGATCTTCTTGCTCCTCTTCAGAGTCCTCAGTCTCCACTTGTAACACAGAGATGAAACTAGAAAGAGGATAGTAGGGCTGGCATACTCCCTTTTGTCTGTTGTATGTATACAGAGTTTCCTAATGACTGAAGAGGACTCTTCTGACAGTTAAAAAAGCCAGCTTTTCCTTCTCCAAGTAGTTTCAAGACTACAAGGAAGATCTCCCTCCTCTATTTAGGAGAATGCTTGCTTTTCACGCTGAACTGAAGGGCCTATCTGTCCAGCAGGGTGATTTCCTTTGCCAAAAGTAGCTTTTTTTTTTCTCCCTTTCCCCCCTTTTTCCTTTAACTGTATCTTTCTCTTGTAATGCACATGGTTCCCTGCTCTGTTTTGATAATAGAAATCTGATACTCATAATAATAAAAAACATTTTAAAGACATTTTTATCTTTTTAAACATGTGCAATGCATTCCTAAAAATAGACTAGTTTAAAAGGAAATGTGAATTTAATACAAGCAAACACATTAAAAGTTACACATTATTTAAAATCTTAAGGCCTTCCATTAAGTTCATTGATATGAAGCCTGAAGAGGAGACTGTACCAAAAATATTTACATTTGGGGGTTAAGCAGTATAAATGATATAATGTTAAGCAGTGTGGGCTTCCAAGTAGCCCCTCAGGATTCTGAACATTGTATCCTGTGTACCACACAAGAAATATCCAGTGTGCCTATGTGGGGGATGTTACTGCTTTCTTTTCTTTTACAGCAACTGATCTTTATAACATATGCAGTTTTAAGTCAGAAATATTTCTCATTCTGCCACTTATGCGGTATGGATTGCTATTTTTGCCCTAGCAAGTACCGGAGTGTTATCCTGGAAAGCTCTGGAGACATGTTACAGCCTGATTTTATGCACATTTACTTTATAGTAAATCTTTCTCGGATTGGGAATGCTTCCAGGTAGCATTTACATAGGATTGCAGATGTCATGTTAGCAATCATGCTTAATATCCTTGTGTTGAAACAGAGCACAGTAAAATCTTTCTAATTTTCAAGAAGATAAAATTCTCCACTACAAAAAGCATATGGGTTTCAGGAAGAAAGCTTTGGATTATTATGCTCATAGATCTTCAGGAAAGAAAGATTTTGGATTATGCTCCTAGATTACATAAAGATTCTACTTAGTGGCAAATGATTTATTTGTTTATAGCCGTTAGTGCAACATGAGGGACAGGGACAGCGCATGGATCAGTGGGCACACTCCACCACCAAATTTCAAAGGGGATGTATGCAGTAATTTAAAAAATGGGAATTATAATTAAAATCAGTCTACCTTGCCCAGTTCTGTATTCTGGTTAAATTAAACTGGATGCCATAGTAGGCTTTGGAGTGACATTTTGTGAACCCTGGATCCATTGAGTTTTTTCAGTGAAAAAAGGCAGTGGCTTTTTGTTCATATATGTGATTGTATGACATCTTTGTTGGAGTGTGTATTTGAATTCCTTTGCTCCTGTCAGGCTTGAGTTGTCCTATATTAATGGACCATATGCTGTTCTCCTTTCCACATTTTAAGGAGGGATACTGTATAATGCTTTTGATTTCCCATAGGAAATAGTAAGCTGAATTTGTCCAATATATGACCAATGTCTGTCTTCCCCTCTACTCAGAACTGGATGTTTTTCAGGGTAGTCAGTTTTTAATTTAGGGCACTTCTACACTACAGATGTAAAGCAGTATGACTGCCTTACCTATCATGATCTCTTGCAACATTTCTTTGATGGCAGGATGTTTTTCCAGTGGATTCCCAGTGGTTGGGAACTGACAATCAAAATCAATTAAAACTTGCAGTGTAGACATGTGTACTTCTGGGATTTTGTCTTGTTCTAAGGAACATACTTTGCTGGCATACTCGGAAACTGATGTATTTACAGATTGAATGAAGTTACAGCTAATTAAGTCCTTCAGTGTTGTGTGGAAGTAGTGGTTTGATCCTTGACTGAGCTATGCCTGACACATTAAAAGAAGGTTCAGTAGCTCTTGGCCTTTCCTTACGAGGACTGGATGATAAGACACTCTCGTGAAGTCAAATTTTAAAACAACGAAAAAAGTTTATTTGTTGAGTCCAGATGTGCAAATATTTTGTCTCCTGGTTTATACCTGGCATGGAAAGCATGAGCTTTAGTAATGCTTAGGAATAAGTACTTAGAGCGAACACCAAGAAGTAAAATAACTAGGCATGCCTGCTCTTGGAAGCCCTAGTTCAGAGAAAATCTCAGTATGAAAGCCAGCTATAGACACTTGCCATCTGCAGTCCAAGGTAAATGCTGCCTTCAGTATATTACCTCATTGTGGAGTGTCTTCCACTCTTTATGCTGTTACTCACTCTAAACTTCTATTGTTGATGTGGCTGAATTGGATGGGGGAGCTTGTCCCCAAATTTTAGGATGAGATATCCCCTCCTTGCTCAGACTAATGGCTGTCTGTGATCTCTGTTGCTGTTCTCCAGACCTTTCTTTTAGGCCTGCTATTGGCTCTGCTTTGTCAGTGATCACCTTCAAAGTATGTATTGCATCCAGTTCTTGGGCATTGACCTCTATACAAACATCCTGTATAGTAGCATGGAATCAGCATTTTCTAAAGTTCCTGTTTGCTTAAAGGAATGGTTTTAGAGAGAACGTTCTCTAAATCAGACCAGGATGGCTTGCTTGTAAGCCATACACTTGTAGCTTGGCCTGTATTATTCATAAAGTAACTAGACTCAGGAGGATAAGAATAGCCAGCAACACGGGCTCATATTTCCCCATGGATGTGGCTGGCTAGGAGGAAGGAATGTTCTGTTAACTTTTTATCCAGACACTCTAGGCGCGGAAGAGCCAACCAATGGCTTCTGTAGTGACGCATGCCGGTAGTTTTCTGTATCAGATCAGAGCTGGGTGTGTGTTTTGTTTCCATGTCTCGTTCTGTTCTGCAGGAAAAAGGTGATAGCTCTGCCTTGTACCAGTTCAATACACAGGGAACTTTGTTCTTGTCTTTATTTGGAATCAGGAAGGGACTGAGTGAGCAGGGAGGTATTCTGAAGTCACACTTAGTTATTTCTGTGAACTTGGAAGGGCAACAGGTACAGTCTTGGTGATCTGGAATTTTGAGAAAAGAGGTGACTGAAATAAATTGTTGATGTGGTTGACTGTGGGTGTCTTTCCCGTAAGTCACTACTGCCCCATTAGCATGCATATAAGCACACATGCAGAGATACATATATGTTACATATGTATTCAAAAATCTGTTCTGAAAAGCACAGGTACATTACTGGTTGCTGCGAGAGAATACTGTACCTGGAATTCAAGGGCATCTAATTTATATGTAGTCCCATTTTCTAATGTGTTATCCTTAGGTGCTGCTGCAAATTCTTTCTTACCTGTTTGGTTAGAGGCTGTTTCTCACAATCCAGTTTCCATATCTTAATTTCTGGGAGAGGGATGTTCTGCGTTTTGAGTATGCCCCCCCATTTGTTAACTACTCCCGTGCCAAATTTCAGCTTTCTCTGTGTTACAGAAGTACCCTGACAAATTCTTTGTGACCCTGAATCAGTGACTAGTTCCTGAGTTTAAATGTTTGCATAAAAATGTATATGCATGCTACATTCACTCCTCTTGTGTACGCAGGTAAATGTGTGCACACATACAAAGATACTTATGAATATATATTTTTCTCTCAGAGACCCAACAGTTTTGCTTTGAATATTTATTTATTTAATTTAATGTAATGTAATGTAATGTAATTTAATTTATATGCCGCCCACACTACCCAAAGGTCTCTGGGCGGCTTACAACATTTAAAATACAATAAAAATTCAGAACAATTAAAATATATATTATAAGCATTAGTCTCTGTCTGCTTCTGGCTTTTATGCTGCCAAACACTTGCAAGTCTGCTTGCATCCTGATATCAAATGCAAAATCCTCTGCCATCTGGCTTGTCGACTCTGCATGTGCAGCTGGGTCAGCCAGCTTGGTGAAATTATCAGTGCCAGCTCTGTGCAGTTCAAGATATTGCCCTATTAATAGAAATGCCGGCTGGTTTATGATCATAGCTAGAGAGAGGAGACTGCCCCCACTTGAAGTGTGGGTGCGTCACGCTGGCCTGAAATATCCTTTGCATGTGTAGAGAGGTGGGGGGAAGTGGCCTCGCAAATAAACTTACTTTTCATGTTTTCCCCCAGTATTGCCACACTTGGGAGGCTTGTAATAAATGCCTTGCTCTGTGATTTTCAGAGATCACAGTGGTTTAATGATTTTCAGTGTATGTGTCAGTGCCTGTGCCAGCGTGCAAAATGTATGTGCAATTTCATGATAGATTAAACAAAATAAATGACCTGACATGGTGTCGTGTATCTTTTGGGGGACTGGAGTTTGAATTGACGAGCCCCACCTCAGCTCTTCTGGCAAATAATTTGATGGTTAAAACTGTTCCTATACCCCTCTGGACTTTAAATGATAATAAAAAGATTATGTGATTGAAGACTCCAGTACTGTGGAGGGAAATCTGGTATCTGGGCCCCTGTGGTCCTTCATATATGGTTGGATTCTTGTTCTTACTAGCTCCAGCAAACTTGACTCATCCTGAGATGCTATGGGGGCAAGTGTTCATTTATTAACATCTGGAATACCACACATTCCCCAGGCTCATCCAGCACACCAAAAGCTAGAATATTGGGGGAAAGCAAGGTACTGTCCTTCTCCCATAATGCCTAGTTTTCTGTTCAGTCATGTAACACCACATGTAGGGTAACAGCCCAAGAACAGTATTGCTATAAAGTTTATTGTTTTAGCTGGATTATATTTAATACTTCAGCTTTGGACTGATGTGCTATCTGATTCACCTCTGCCATAGACTCATGACCCAGGTTACTCGTTCTCATTTGCAGCATTGTATCTATAAAATGGAACAGTGATCTACTTCATAACGTTGTTGAGTAGGTTAAAGCAAAAGAAAGAAGTTGCAAACTGAAACGATGCTATACAAATGACATCAGGTGTTAATAGGATGTTGGAAGGATTTGATAATATTGTAAGCCACCTTGTAACGTCTTGAGGAGAAAGGTAGGGGATAAGTATCTTAAATAATAAATGTGTATATGTATGCTGGGGGGGGGGATAAATAGCCTGGAGGTGTGCTGAAGTGACCAAAACCTTGGGACAATTGAATACTTAGTGGGCCAAATTATTACTCCTGCTATTGTAATCAGTCGTATTAATTTTCAGTTTCTAGTTCTGAAGCATTTAATTTTCAAAAATAAAACAAAGCACATGTGGACATTTCTTTCCCTATTGCCATCAACAGTTGTAAATCTACCTTTTAATTGGAAGTTCGTTCTTTTGATTCCATGAAAATCATCTTGTCATTCTGTAGTTTGTGGATATGAAAACCTTTGTTCATATGGCAACAATAATAAACTACTTACAAAGTAGGGAAATGCAGTAGGTTGTATCTAACTAGTATATTCCATTGCTCTTTGATTCACTAGAAGCTTCCATCAGTGGAATGAGGAGGAAAGCAATATGGGCCAATTCCTTAAATGCTTCCCCACTGTAACCCTGTAATCTGCTCTTGAAGGTTGAGGAACGAATCTGTTGAGGGACAGGGCTGCGATGGAGATGAAAATCACTTCCCTCCCTTTTCTGCTGGTGGAAGCCTTCTCAGTATCATAGAGTATTCCAGCAGTGGAGTGACATCAGTTGGATACAACTCAGTGTTGTGTCTTATCTGTGTTACTGTCTTGTCTTTCCTGGTTGCTTTGGGAGGGGAGAAATCGAGGGTCTAATTATTAGTTCCCAGGAGGAGAATGGATTCATTTTTCTCAGTCTTGCCTTTTTCCTATTAGTATCATTGATTAAATCTGTCATCCTTCTGATTGTTCATTACTGTGTCAACTTGCCTCCTACAGGTCAAAGGCAGAGATGCGACACACTTGTCGTGGAACCATCAATCTGGCCACAGCAAACATCACAGTGGAGGACTCCTGCAATTTCATCATTTCCAATGGAGGGGCACAGACCTACCACTTGAAGGCCAGTTCTGAAGTTGAGAGGCAGCGCTGGGTCACAGCCCTGGAGCTGGCCAAGGCCAAAGCAGTCAAGATGTTGGCAGAATCAGGTAAATGGCATGCTCGGACACAACAGATGTAGAATGGCAGAACTGAGGGAGCTTATTGTGGGAAAGGAAAGGGTGGAGCTTGTTGTGGCAGGCCACTCTTACAGGAAGGAGTAAACACGGGAAAATAAAGGAATGAGCTCTTTTGAACAATGTTAGGTTTGTCTAATGACCCTTGTGCAAACGGCAAGCTGCTGCAGGGCTTCAGGAGGCCAGGATGAGTATTTCTCTCTTCTTCCCATCCCACTCCCATTTGTCTTTTTGTGACACTGAGGTTTCTCTTAGTAGGTGGGCCTCAAGAAGTGCTCCCACCCCTCCTACTTGAAATGCATTTGGTTAAAAGAGAACTGTCTAGCAGCCTATTCCAAGCACACCGTTAATATAAGTGAATGTCTCTTCCCCTTTGTCCTCTTGATCCTGTTTAGAGTTCCAGCTGCCTGAGGCAAAGTTTTCTGCCAAACACCAAATGTTTGTTACTCAGACAAATGGCCCTGTGTCCTTTGAATCCTGTGTGTGACATACCAAGGCAAGAGGCCATTGGGGACTCCTGTGGATTTAGCCAGATATTTCTGGAAAATGGGCTTCTATTTTTAAGTATCATATTTCTCAGAATCTACTTTTCAGGACATTGTGTGTTTCAGGAGTTAGGACCAAATCAGTTCTGCATAGTACCCAAAACCTGAGATACAGTATACATAAGCTAAAATCCAGGAGCATAATTGAACGCTGTGCTTGCCTGATGATGTCACCAGCCATGATAGTGTTTTACAAAGTAAAATTTCCACTCGCACACTCTTCACATGTCCGGAGGCTTTCCTGAGACCCCTTTCATTGTGAGGAATTTGTCATGGGCTGCAGGATGGGGAAGAAGTTTTTAATTTCTGAAAGTTGCTGCTGCTGTTACAGCTGTGAAGACTTCTGGAAATTAAAAGTTTCTCCTGTGGCCCCCAGTGGCTTCCCCACAGCAAAAGGGATCCCAAGGGAGCTTCTGGGTGGGTGGAACATGTCTAATTTTTGTGAGACTCCTGCAGATGATGACATCATCAGCCTTATGTGATGTATGTTAAAGAGGCAAGATTTCAGCCATTGTAGGTAACAAGATGGCTTCTGAGTTGAAGCATCTGCCAGTAGCTGCTGTATCTGATTAGGTAAAACAAGGGCCATTTATATAGGATACAGCTGTGCAAAACAGTAGCTGAAGTGATTATAGGCCTTCAGTTTCCTGGAGTGATTGTGCTGCTGTGGTGCACATGGTTCTTATCTAGAATTTTCAGGGCACTTGCCTCTCTGAACTGTATCTAGTTCTCAGTGGTTAGCATTTGCTCTTTATGGAAGACAAAAGAAGTGGAAAATTTATTGTTGGCTGGTTTGTTTCATTTTCATGAAATTTTAAAGACTTGGCATCTAGAAAATGATGTGTTTGGCAGCATCACAGGGAAGACCGTCTTCCATGTTTTCAAAACAGAGTGTTCTCTTTCCCATAATGTTATTTGTGTCAGGGTTCTAGGCCTCAGGCTTCAAAGGTGCAAGCATTGAGCTAACTCCAATTTAAATGAGTTGTGACTAACCAGTCTCACTCATTTCAGCAGACTTATTCTGTGAAGGGCGGCATATGTTGGATTTAGCTTAGTAGTGCTGATTTAGCTTTTCTAAATGTTCAGCTCATTGTTGCTAATTTTCGCTTTCTGTCGAAAGCTCAATGAAAGAGGGAGACACGAATTCATATACTGTAGGTTCTGAGCATGGCACAAAAATGTGAGAACCTCAAGTGCTGATTCTGAAAACCACCTGCCTTTCTAAATACTTGCAAATACTGTGCTGTCCTGACTTCTTCCCCTTAGTGGTATCCTGCTTCATAGCTGTTCTGCTGATTGCTTGCAACAGATATCCCCCCTCCCCATCTATTCGGTAATTCTCTTTAAACAGCAATTTTGTTTGTGACTCATTTCTTGTGGGTAATTACAAAATGCAAGACCAAAGCAAAACAGTTTTTAAGATAAACCTTTGAGTTTTCATTTCGTTTTTAAAAATAAGAGGAAATTGCAGGCTGGTTTGCTCAATCACACCAAAGGTCCACCCAGTGTTTATAACCACTGGAAGCTTCTTATCTTAGAACCCCTCAAAGTTCAAGGCTAAAAGCAATGGCCCTTCCTTGATGTTTGTTCATGGTACTTGATATTCAAAGGTAGACTCTTCCTAAAAAAAAAGAATGTTCCTTTTTTGTCTCATTGCTAGTAACTCCAATAGATGTATCCTGCATTCATTTGTCTAGTCCTTAAAAGCCATTTAACCAATAATAAGAACTGCTTCTTATGGTAGTGTATTTCATATGATCATTACTAATCAGATGAATACTTTGTCATCTTACTTGAACCTATCAGTATTTGTCTTGTTTGATGAACTCAGGTTCTAATATTAGGAGAGAAAATAATCCATCCCTTCAGCATCCTTAGTTGTATTATTGTTAATTGTCATATAATGTCAAGTCATCTCTGACTCTGGCAACCCTATTGGTAAGTGATGCCAAAATGTTCTGTCATTAACAACTCTGCTCTGCGCTTGCAAACTCAAGGCTGTGGTTTCCATTTTTGAGTAAATCCACTTCATATTTCTTTTTTATTCCTGCTCTCTAACTTTTCTCAGCATTTTGGTTTATTCACTATTTCTCCTCATAATGTGCCCAAAATATAACAGCTTCAGTTTTGTCTCTTGTTGCTTCTAGAGAGAGTTCAGGCTTGATTTTACCTAGGGCACATAAACACACCCTTGTTTTTGTTCTTTCTGGTGGTTCATGGTCTCCATAAAGCTTTCCTGTTGCACCATATTTTAAATGAATAGATGGTTTTTTCCTTTCAACTTTCTTCACTGTCCATGTTTCGCACTCATACGTAGTAACTGGGCATAGATTATCTTCGTCTTGTTCTCCAGTGACACATTCTTACATTTGAGAATCTTTTCCATTTCCTTCATACATAGCTGCTCCTTTGAGTCTCTGTCACCTTTTGATTTCTTGGATGCCATCTCTATTTCTATTGATAACTGAATCAAGTTGTACAACATCTTAAATAATTTCAATTTCTTCATTACCAACATTAAAGTTGTATAGTTCTTCTGTAAGCATGATTTTTGTCTTCTTAATGTTCAGCTGCAATCCTGCTTTTGCACGTTCTTCACCAGGAATTGTTTCAGGCAATTGCTGGTTTCTACCAGTGATATGGAGTCATCTGTGTTATCTTAATTGATAAAAGATACATAAATAATTATCATATCTCCTTCATTTGAATCCAGTCCAGCTTTCTCTGTTATGCATACAGATTGAATAGAAAGGGAGATTAAAATATGCCATGACCTTTGCTATGGGAAACCATTCTGTTTCTCCATATTCTGTCCTAACTATTGCTTCTTGTCTACAGTAAAAGTTACACGTGTTGAGGTACATCCATTTCTTTTAGAAAAATCTTAGCTTTTCATGATCCATATTGTCAAAGGCTTTGCTATAGTCTCTAAAGTATAGATTTTGCAGTTCTTTGGTATGGTTTGATAGTCAACACATATTACCAATATGATCTCTAATTCCTCTTCCTTTTCTGTATCAGCTTGGACATCAGGTGTTCCTTGCTCCATATATGGTAAAGGTCTCTGTTCCAACATGTTGAGTATCACTTCGTTTGCATGGTAAAATAATAAAATGGGCCTATAGTTGCTGCACTCATTGGAAACTCCTTTTTTGGGAAGTGGAATGTATACTGAACATTTCCACTTTGTATGCCACTATTTTGTTTTCTATATGTATTAGTGTGCTTCTTTTAAGATTCTGACAGGTTCAATCTCTGTAACTTGAAATAATTCTGTTGGTATCCTGTCCACTCCTCATGACTTATTTCTTCCAAGTGCTTTGAGAGCCATTTTCATTTTGCTTTCTGTAATTGCAGGCTCTCTTTGTCTTTCTATAATAATTACTGAAAAGTTGCTTTTAGGAATCTGACCTTATTTCTGCAACCTTTACTTTTGCTTCTCATCTCTTGTTGACAATTTAAAAAACATCTCATGTTTTTCCTCAGACATCTGTGTTTTTTTTCTTTCTTTTGACTACAAGAATAGTCTTTTTACATTCTTCGCTGATAATATTGATATTGTTCAGTCATATGTTACATCATAGCCCCTAACTGCTTCTGCTACTTCATGTATCAGTATTAGAGCCACACTGTTTCTTCTGATTGTTTCATTCATAGACTAAAAACACTTTGTAACTGTCTGACTGAAAATAATCCAATTTCATTCAACTTTGGTTTGCTCACACCATGTACTGCATTGTTTAAACTTTTATTTTCTGGTTTTCTGGTTCCCTATTTACAATGATTCATATTTCTCACATTCCATGTTCCAGTTGTATATGTCATGCAGCACTGGACTTTCCTTTTGCCTCCATGAACATCAGACTAGGCTTCCTTTTGGCTTTAATCTAGCTGCATCGTTAGTCTGTTAGGCCATTGCTCCTAGCCTTTTTGACACCAGGGACCAGTTTAGTTGAAGATCATTCTCCCAAAGACTGGGGTGTGTGTGTTACTTGTTATGCAGTAGGTTGTTGGAGGATATCTTTGAATCGTGCTCATAAAGGAAATGGTGAGCAGGAGGTGAGCTGCAATTGAAGCTCCGCCTCCTGTTAGATCAGCAGCAGCTTAGAACCTAATAGAATCGCAGGCTCCTATTAGATTCTAATGCCACAGGCATAGCTGATCTAGCAGCAGCAGGAGGGGAGCAGGGAGCGAAGCTCCGCCTCCTTTCAGATCAGCAGCTGCATTAGAACTTAAAAGGAGTGCGCTGACAGGAGGCGGAGCTTCACTCAATGCTCCACTCCTGCTCGCCGCTCATCAGACCCAGCAGTCCGGTCCTTCCATGGCCACGGACCAGTAACGGTCCATGGTCCAGGGGTCGGAGATCCCTGTGTTAGACTGTCCATACTTGTGCTTTGCTCTTTCCAGGTAGCTGATTGATCACGCCTTCTCACCTGGGAGTCTAAACCTCCAGCACTGTTGTATTTCATTTTGGATTGTCTCACTATAGCTGCCACTCAGGAGTTTCTCCATTATCATTAGAATTATCAATTATTTTATGCTGATGTATAACCATTATTCCTAAGAGGGTGGGTGCATTTTTGTTTAATGCCTATGATTTAACCATTCTGCAGGAGTGGCACTGTTAGGAATAACAGCATAGCCTCCTTATAGCATTGCTCTCATCTTCCCTGACAGCTTCAAACTCCCTCACCACATAAAAGGGGTGTGTATATACAAGAAAAGGGGCCCTAAATGTATAGACCTCTTTTAGTAAAACTAGTATAATGTCACTTCCTTTCCTGCCATTCCTGCTTACTGTTGGTTGTACAGAGTAACATTTGATGAGTAGAAGAATGTGCATGCTCATCTAGACAGTTTTTAGGAAGTCACATGATGGTCTTAACAATTTTAAGAAACGGAAGGGAAGATCAAAAGTATATTTGCGAGTATACATGTGAGGACATGATTTGCACCAAGGAACTCCTGCATTCAGTAAGCTCTGGTATCCTTGGTTTGGTTAGTTTATATCTTAGTGTTTCATTTTGGAATTTCTGATACTAAAACCAAGCCTTGAAAGCTATTGCTCTTTGCAAGATCCAGAGTGTACCAATGATACATTGGATATCTCTGCTTTTTCCCATCCTTGCCAGCAAAATGGTTTTTCAGATTGTTCTTTTATTGTTATGTAGTGGTGGCGCTGTGATGATTGTTCTTTTATTGTTATGTAGTGGTGGTGCTGTGATTTAAACCGTAAAAGCAAGGTCAGAAGACCTGCAGTCTTAAAATCGAATCCACGCATCAGAAGACCTGCAGTCTTAAAATCGAATCCACACATCAGAGTGAGCTTGTCTCAGCTCCTGTCAACCTAGTGGTTCTAAAACATGCAAAAATGCAAAATGCGAGTAGATAAATAGGTACCACCACAGTGGAAGGTAACGGCGTTCCGTGTCTAGTCGCGCTGGCCACGTGACCACGGAAGATTGTCTTCGGACAAACATAGGCTGTATGGGTTGGAAACGGAAATAAGCACTGCCCCCTAGAGTCGGACACGACTGGACAAATTGTCAAAGGGAACATTTACCTTTACCTTACCTTAGGATGGTAATCTCTGTGAACTGCTTTATTGGTATACAAATAAGGAGAGATAAACTTAAATTAATAAGTATCTGCAGTATAGCAACTAACAGCTGGCCAGATAGTTTAGTGAGTTCGGTGTCTGGCTGTGGAGTCAGAGGTTGGAAATTAGATTACCTGCTTGCCTCCTGCGAGTAGAGCCAGCCTTTGCAGCCTTGGGCAAGCTGCTTAGTCCCAGAGTGGTCTCCACAGGAAGGAAATGGCAAGCCATGAGTATTGTCTACCTAGAAAACTTGGAAAAAGTAAGAATTGACTGGATGGCACACAGCAATTACTATAACATTATAGCATTATTATATTATGATAGCAATTAACTCACAATTTCCTTGTTAAAGGATTAGAATTTCCATCCTTCCCTTTAGTTGAACTATTCCACCGAGAGAACAGAATTGTTTGGTGTGTTTTTTTATCAAGTGTTCTAAATTGGAGGAGGAGCACATAGGCTGCATGTGACTCTCAGCCATGCTTATGGTCTTTGTGCTGTATATCATTGTCAAATGCACTGCAGCGGTGGCAGCAGAATCACTGCTTTTCTCTCTCTCTTTTTTGTAAACAAGGTATGCTTGAGTCACATACCTTGTTTTTAAAGAGAATCAACTTCCTGGAACCACAAATCACCTTGAAAACACTGTGTGTGTCTCTGGTATGCCTTGGCTCATTGCTAAAAAGTGGTAGTTCTTGCCACTACAGATTCAGTACCCGGAAGAGGTATGACTCCAGCAGGTTTTGACGTGGGGAGGGAGGTCAGGGCACCCTTACCCTCCAGCATTTGTCCAGACTTAATCTAGGAATTTTCTTTGTAACGCCTGTGCATGGCTAATATTGGGGATGAAAGGGAGCAGAGATGTCTTGAGTTGGGCCTGGTTAAAAAATGGGCTCCTGCCTTGGCTTGAAGGGGTTACAGCTGCAGTTTCTTCTGCACAGATGAGTCAGGTGATGAAGAATCCGTCTCTCAGACGGACAAGACAGAACTGCAGAACACCCTGCGCACCCTCTCCAGCAAGGTGGAGGATCTTAGCACCTGTAATGACCTGATTGCCAAGCATGGGACCGCTTTGCAGCGCTCGCTCAGTGAGCTGGAGACCCTGAAACTGCCGGCTGAGAGCAATGAGAAGATCAAGCAGGTCAACGAGCGAGCCACCCTCTTCCGCATTACTTCCAATGCCATGATCAACGTAAGTCTGCCGCCAGACATTGGCTGTGAGCCTGCCTCACGGGGAAGGGCGCTTGGATGGGATAGGCTGCGGATCAGTGGTTTTGGGTGTACCTAATAACAGAAGTTGCAGAACCAGAGTCTGGTCGTGCCCTGGGCTCCACATTTGGAGAGAGAATCTGATGAGCTTTGTCATTAAGCTTTTGGATTCCTAAGCAGCCTGTGACACAGCATGTTAGCTAAAATATAAGCCCTTTAGTTAAAAAACAAGAACTGTAAACTAAATTCCTGCTTGTCCTGAATCTTCTGTAACTGCCTATAATTTTGCAGCTCAGTGTGGCCACACTGTGGCCAGTTTGAAGAACAGCATTAAAAACATGACCTGATCTGAACTAAGGAAGGAAAAAAATGATAAAAAATGCCAATCGACAAACAGTGCATCAAATGTAGTTTATGTTTCGAAACTGGAGAGCAAGGGGAGAAAAGGGTAAGCTAGAAGATGGCAGCATGGAGAAAAAGTCTTTAGAAGAGTGGTGGAGGGCTAGACAGTGCCGTGATTTGCTGACTCTGACAGCTCTCATCCATGACAGCACAATTGCAGCTTTGTTCCTCATTTACTGTATGCCGTCATCAGGCCGGGGTTTGAAGGTTAGGATGGAGGCAGGGTGGTGGTTGGAGACGGCACATCTCCCAGAGGACAACGGATCCCTGAGCAATCAGAATCCTGGAGAAATAATGAGCTGTGCTTTATTAGTCCCATTGAATACAACAGGATGAGCGTCTACATGAAAGTACACATTGTGTAGCCGTGTCCTGGATCCTTAAGCTAAATGTGAGCCAATAGTTCAGTTGAGCAAAGGCCCTGCTAAGGTTTGACAGGCAGTTTCATTGCCTAGCGAGTCCTACTGATAACTCCGAGCAACTTTAAGCACAGTCTTAAAGTCAGCCACATTTCTGTTCACAGTCCAAATCTGTCAGTTACCAACTTGCCACCATTACATGTTGGTCTGTCTGAATTCTGAGATGGATTGAGGATCTGGTCATTTACTGTTAGGAGTCTGTTTAGCATATATCTGTACCTACCTTCCATTTAAGTAGCATCTTCACATCATTCCCCTTTCTGTAGGTCGGGCATAAAACAGTTCAGAACTCTAGGAAGACTTTATGTTTTGCAGGCTGGGAGCAGACTGTTAAGCAAAGCAATTTGTTAAAATGTCAGAAATATTTTTTAAAGATATATGAATCTGCATTCTAACTAAAATACTAAGTTGCTTATATATTAATACCACAGATCACAATGAAAAACTTAAATGATAAAGAACTGTAATTTATCTCACTCCTAACTAGAGAGCAAAATCCTATGTTCTTCAAATGGTCACTGTCATTTTTTAAAAAAAATACTGGAAAACAGCAATAATTAACTTCAACCGAGATGGATTCTTAGGCCAGGCCTTCCCTTAGCGAGGAAATACTGCAGCCTTATACAAAAGTTACTAAGCTGCAGACTTATTTATTAGCCTGCTAAAAACCCAGTATCTTGTTTTTCTGTGCTGGACACACAGGAAGAATGACTTTTTTTAAAAAAAGAAAGAAGGTAAATTATCTATGTAGTGAATGAAGAACAGACTGAGCTGTCTGAGCTTTGAGCCAGTGTGGAATTCTGTGCACTCATCGGCATGGAATTCCTGGTTGTCTGTGGCTGCCAGTTAAGTTATATATAGGGCTGGAATACTATTCTTTGAAGAAGGAATGACATCACAATGTCCTTTTTAAAAAAAAGTCCTCAAGTAGCAGTGGGCAGTTTATACTGTGAAAGGCTTTAAACACTGAGGATTGTTTGAGGCATGAAATGGAAAGTAGGCTTTAGAAAGTACCTTAACAAAGATTGCCGTTCCTGATGTGCAGAACCCCTCACAATGTGTTGAAATGGGTAAGATAAGAATCATTTTGGCATTCATTTAGGTAGAGATCGTACAACCCAGAGATTTGGAACTACATTTTTCCTTTGATGGAATTAATATTCCATGTCTATGCATTCATATTGCTGCTCTATGATAACAATAAGGAGAACTCTTTTGGATCGAGGCAGCAGCTCTCTAATCCTTTGTGACCTATTTAGTTCAGCATCCTCTTTCCCAACAGGAGGAGGACATCAGGACAATAGACCTGTCATTCTAAAGTTGTTCTGAATCTGAGACCACCACACACCTACTGTGACTAGAAGCCTGGTCGTTATCTCATCCTCCATGAATTTGCCTAATGGTTTTTAAAGCCATCTAAGCTATTGATAATTTCCTAGACTTCCCAGATGCAGGGGTTACTGAAATTTTTCCTAAATAGTCAGATGAAAGCTTTCTGGTGACATGTCTGAGTTTAGAGTAGGACCTGGGAGGATTTGCCATCTTTCACGTCCCCATCTTTCTCCATAGATGCTGTTATTTTATGTTCATCCCCATAAGGACTGCTTTTCAGTATTCTTGTTTAAATACTACCCTGGTTTTTATTTAGGGCAGCTTATTAAAAGTAACTTTAAATGTCTTCTGATTCTTCATGGAATTCAACTATAATTCATAAGGTCAAACGGTCACATTGCATACACCTGCGTAGTCTTCTTGCACCAGTTGGATTGCTGGATTATATATAAGTTTGTAGTGTTATATGTTCAGGGTCTCCCATAACAGCATAACTATCCTGATAAATTCCAAGGGACACATTTCTTTGCAGTTTGTCTTAATCAACAGGAGAACGTTGTGTATCACTTGAAGAGTAATAATAGCTGGACTTATATCATAGTGTAGTTTGACCTGGGCAGTACAGAGAGGTGTCCCTCTTGTGGCAAAAGGAGAATAGAGAACCTTGTAAAGACAAGAATTACTCTTGTTTTCTTGACTTCTTCAAATGTTATCCCTAATAAAGGTGGCAGGGTGACATTTGAATTGTCAGAATGTCTTCAGCTGACATCCCCTGGAGTAGTAAATGCTGCCTCTTCTTGGGGTTCCCCCATAGGCTTGCCGAGACTTCCTGATGCTGGCCCAGACACACAGTAAGAAGTGGCAGAAATCTCTTCAGTATGAGCGAGACCAGCGCATCCGTTTGGAAGAGACCCTAGAGCAGTTGGCTAAGCAACACAATCACCTGGAAAGGGCCTTCCGCGGAGCCACAGTCCTACCTGCAAATGCCCCTGGCAGTATGGACTCCTCGAAAGGTAGGAGCCGGCGGCTTTGGCCCTTGTCTCTTCCATGAATCAAGCCTTAGCAAGGGGTAGCTCTTCTGATGTTCTCCTCTGCCAGTGTCAGCCTCCCTTGCCTTGATATTCCTCCTCGTCAAAATAACTTCTGCTGGGTGACTTGCGGTCCCTTCATGCTTAGAGAATCAAAACCAAGGAGGTTAACATCAACACATATTCCTCTTTCAGATCAGTGTTGCTCATCAAAGGGAGATATGAGTGATGAAGATGATGATAATGAATTCTTTGATGCACCTGAAATTATCACCCCTGATACCATGGGCCACAAGTGAGTGATCCCCAGCTTTGCATGCCTCAATGTTTGGCACTGTGAATGTGTTCCCCATGGGCTTTGACACCTTCCCACCTGTATCACCTGCCTGATTTACTATAAGCAGGTCCAGAAACATAGGCTATGGCAGCAAGAGTACTGGATCAAGCAGTGGGAACCCATGCTGAGGCAATTTTCTACTGCCTTGGGTCCTTTTTGAGAAAGGCGAGATAAAAATAAAATTAAATAAATTGTCTCCTTTATTCATTTCTAGTTGGTTGTTACTTCAGGGTTCTGGTTTTGACACAGAAGGCTCTGCATGCCTTGGTACTGCAGTGCCTAAAGGACTCAAAATGTACCTACACTCGTACCTTAAGACAGTCAGTAGAAGCTGTTCCCTGAACGCTTCCTCCTCCTGAAGCTCAGGGGGCATTATGTGCTCTTCCCCCCAAGAGTCTTCCCTGTCACTGTGATGGACATTTTCAAGTGCCAAACAAAGCCATCTTATTGTCTTTGACTTTTAAAGTATTTATTGTCTTAATGATCATAATATTTTAATTCTGTTCACAATATTGGGTTATTGACAAACATTTTAGACTGTTTATATTAATGGCTTAACTATCATGTTACTTTCATGTGTACATTAATGAGTACAGTTATTTGTATTGATTTCATTAGAATATTTTTACATAAACATGCATTTTATATCTACAGTTCATACTAAGAATATTTAGTTTTACAGCAACTCAGAAAGACAGTAGATAATGCCTAAAGTCCTGTGGCTTAGTATAACACGTTGTGCTAGAGTAGGTCCATTGAATCAGTGAAGAATTGATTAAGTCAATTCCTTTGTAGATTTCATTGATTTAAATGAGCCTATTCTAGTTGTGGCTTACTTTAGTATAGTAAGTCATAACTAGAGTAGTCGCAACTGAATGAAGGGAAGTACAGAGGATTTGACTCACCAAATCCCCAGTGATTCAACGGACCTACTCTAGTGCAACTTGCTATGCTAAGCGACAGAATTTCGGCCCATCAGTGAAACAATTGGGTAGAAATGATGTTCCACTGACCACTTCCTAAAAGTAATTACCTTGCCTATTGGCAAAATGAAATGAAATGAACCAAGATAGGTTGCCTTAGATCTCTAAGAGGGCCATAGATCCTTAATATTTGGTACTGTGCCAAGTGATTTCCAATTCTGCCAGTCTAGATCCCATAACCTTGTTCTGTCAGTTTTTTTTCTGGACCATTTTTTGCAGAGTATTTCAATTGGAGCACCTAGTTCTTCCTTTCTTATGGTGTATCTTTCTCCTCCCTTTAGAAGAACTGGCAGCAACATCAGTGGTGCTAGCAGTGACATCAGCCTCGATGAGCAGGTATTCTGCCTTATGATCTGAGGGGAGGGAGAGGGATAAGAGCCTTTTCACCAGATGCTGTTGGGATTCTATAGATGAGGATACTATATTATATGAGTCCTTCTCAAGCTTCTGGAACAGCCCCACAGCTTATCTATTATGCAGGTTTCTGTCTACTAAGTTAAGCAGCATCTGAATGTAGGAGGAGATGCACAGGAAAAATTAAAGTATTGGGGTGATAGAGTGCGTTACTATAGGGGCTGGCATTTTGCAGGGTTCAGGGGCCATTTTCTGCTCACAGAATGTTTTTGTGGGGCCTGCCTCACATACCACCAAAAATGTGGCTTGATATTAACTTCCAGATGAGTATTTTTGAGGTTGCACACTGCAGGTGTCCCTGAAACTGTCTTGAAAAATGTATTGCTACTCCTGAATCTTTCAAAAGTAGCAGTTCGCCTTCCCCTCTCCTCTGGGGAAACAGTTGTTGTGAGGGTGGGGCATTTGATGGTGCTGCAAGAAACAAAATGGTTTGGGAGGGGAAATCACTATACTTTGCCCACTCACACTCTAGGTTATTAGAGTTATTATCTTTTTCTTGTAGGTATAACAGGACCTCCATATGCTCCAAGATACACCTTTAGATTGAGTTCTGTGAAGGTTAGGGAGAGCAGGTGTGATGTTATTAGGGATGTTAGTTTTTAAATAAACCTGTTGCTTCTTAGAAAGCATAAGACTTAATACATTGAGGACACTGGTTATGGATTGGGCTAATCTGTTAGTACATAGATGAGGTTGTTTAAATAAGCTTTGAGCAAAGCAAAGTAGAAAATATTTAGGGGACTGTGTAGGGTTTGCTGAGTGCTGTACCCCACTATATTCTAACTCGTTTTCTCTTCCTCCTGAAGTATAAGCATCAGTTTGAGGACACCAGAAAGGAAAAAAGAACACGGATTCCGTACAAACCAAATTATAGCCTGAATTTGTGGAGCATCATGAAGAACTGCATCGGCAAGGAACTCTCCAAGATCCCCATGCCAGTAAGTCCCCCTGGCTGGAACCTGACATCTGTCTTATGCCCTGCAGAGTTGGAAGGGGGGGGGGAAGGATGGGCACCCCCACCCACACTCTATCCTTTCATCACAAGAAGTGGAACTGACTGCCCTGCAGCTCATTTCGTGGCTTTGAGACTTGGGACAATTCCCAACTTCCTTCCCTTGCCTTTCCTTCCTTGTTCCAGAAAGGATCTTCTGCTAGTAATTAGCTTCTTCTGTTTCTAGGTTAACTTCAACGAGCCCTTATCTATGCTGCAGCGCCTCACGGAGGACCTGGAATATCATGATCTGTTGGACCGGGCAGCCAAGTGTGAGAGCTCCCTGGAGCAACTCTGTTACGTAGCTGCTTTCACTGTGTCGTCTTACTCCACCACTGTCTTCCGCACAAGCAAGCCATTCAATCCCATCCTAGGGGAAACCTTTGAGCTGGACCGGCTGGAAGAGAATGGCTACCGTTCCATTTGTGAACAGGTGAAGAGCAGGACACATTCCCTGTATGGCCTGTTTTCTGTGAGAGTTCTTGTGGCATTTTCAGTCCTGAGCATATTAAGTTCCATTGAGGAGTGGTGAATATGCTTCCAAGTGAATGCCCTTCAGTCCAAGCTAGTTATCAGAGCTAAGAAAAGTGAGGTGGCTTGGTACTTTGTTTTTTGCTCTTTTGAGAAGGGCAACAGCTCCCAAAATTTCCCAGCTATGGCCTGTGGCTGTCTTGACTGGAATATTCTGGGAGCGCAAAAAGTAACTCTCATATATTCAGGATGTTACCTCTTTACTTCCCCTTTTGTTACCCTTAGCATTTGAATTACTGGGATGGAATCTGCTGTTTTTTCCCTTACCTGTTTTTGGTCACGTCCCCCAGGTGAGCCACCACCCTCCAGCTGCTGCTCATCACGCCGATTCCAAGCACGGCTGGACCCTTCGTCAGGAGATAAAAATCACCAGCAAGTTCCGTGGCAAATACCTCTCAATTATGCCACTTGGTAAGTTTTCGCCAGCAGTGGCATTAACTTGGTAAGTTAATGCCACTGCTGCAAGTTGTTGTTGCAGATGTACATGGCAGACTAATAGGGCAGTTTGGAAGGTTGGATTTCATCTCTGCTTGCTATGTTGTGTCAGATTTTGGGATCGGCAGTGTTTTCCTAGCTAGTATTAGGCTGTCTGGGAAAATTTCAGGCCCTACAATGAGGGTACCTCTAGAAGAAGGGAATGGTAAAGTACTTCTGAGTACTCTGTAGCTAGAAAACCCTGAAAAGGCTTACCATAAGTCAGAATTGACTTAACAGCACACAATTATTTGTTATTTTTACAGTGAGAGTTAGTCAAATATAATACCTTCATTAATGCATTCTTCCTTTCTGTATCCCCCTTGGAGATATTTAGAACAAGTGCTTATTTCAAAACTTCAGGAAGTAGACATCTAAAGAACTAAATATAATGGGCAGCCAGGGGAAAATATGCCATGACTGAGCAGCAATTAGAACCTTGGTCTTCAGTATCCAAAGCAAATGCTCCTGTTCAATGGATTTGTTCTGTTTTACCCCAAATTCCAGCAAAGGTGCTTTCATCAGTATGCAGTTGTCCTGAGTACCATCTTTTTATTTCAAGGTACCATTCACTGTATCTTCCATACGACGGGCAATCACTACACATGGAAGAAGGTCACCACCACAGTACATAACATCATAGTGGGCAAATTATGGATTGACCAGGTGAGTCAGAAAGTGGGGAAGTGGATGGTAGGATTATATTGCAGCCAGATACATCTTCTGGGGGTAGTTCTGAAAGCCAAGATCTTAAAGATTTTTTTTCCTGCGTCTCCCATCAGTTTGATACTTTTGGTCATTCAGCTGTTTTCAGTTATTTCATCAATGGTGCTGACCCTCCTTGACTCTGCCTCTTGTTTTTTCTCTCTTCCAGTCTGGTGAGATTGAGATTCTGAATCATAAGACTGGTGAGAAGTGCATTCTCAAGTTTGTTCCTTACAGCTACTTCTCAAGAGATGTGGCGAGGAAGGTAAGAGACATTGTGCTTCAGCCCTTCTGGTATGGCAACAACAATGATGGCTCTTCTTTAAAAAGAGACAGAGAAGGGGAGTTGTTTGGAGAAGCCATATGTGCACCAATGACTTTTATTAGTTGACCAGCATACCTGGAGGGTGGGGTTTTCCCCCCTCGTTCTGAAAGTTTGGATGCTGGTTGCATGGTCCAATGGAGAACAGCCTATTAGCAGAGAGAGGAATGTTTTTCAGCTAACCAGAGGAAAGTTAAACCGTGGTTGATCTCCTCCATAAAAATCTGTGTGTAACCTTGCCGCAACAGCAGTGAAAAAAAGAACAGTGTCCCATGACTCTGGAACTTCTTCTTGTAACAGGTCACTGGAGAGGTGTTAGATTCCTCAGGAAAAGTGCATTATATGCTATTGGGTACGTGGGATGAGAAGATGGACTGTTTCAAGGTGATTCCTGGGATGGAGAATGGTGGTGAAAGCCGACAAAGAGCACACGAAGTTGAGGACGGCAGAATCATGCTGTGGAAGAGGAACCAACTCCCGTGAGTAAGGGTTTGGTGATCCAGAGGTGTAGAGGGCGTGGATGCGTCCTCCAGCTTGCCATCCTCCTATGGTGGATGGCATGTGGGGATTTGACTGAGAGGCTTGCTGCCCCCTTGACATCTTCTTTCTCCTTCCTTTACAGAAAGAATGCGGAGAACATGTACTATTTCTCAGAGCTGGCTTTAACGCTTAACGCCCCAGAAAGTGGCACTGCTCCAACAGACAGCAGACTTCGGCCTGACCAGAGACTCATGGAGAATGGGCGTTGGGATGAAGCCAATGCCGAGAAGCAGCGCCTAGAGGAAAAGCAGCGCATTGCCCGCAAAAAGCGTGAAGCTGAAGCCATGAAGGCATCCGAGGATGGTAAGAGTTATATTATTTGCACTTGTAATTTTGAAACGTGTAGCAAAACTTTTGCCCTGTACGTGTTTCTGAGGTTTTTCCTGGGGTCCTAGGCAACAGACTCCCCAAATCAGAAGCAGTTATGGGAGTTGTAATCTGAAACATCTGGAAGGCCAGAGATTCCCCCAGGGGCTATAATAGGACCAAATGAATTACTCATACAATCACTACATTGCAGAGCTAAGGGACCTCAGGAATCACCTAGTCCAGCGATGGCGAACCTGTGGCACGTGTGCCACAGCTGGAACGCAGAGCCCTCTCTGCAGGCACACAAGCCATAAGTTGCCAGATCGCTACCCTTGGCAGCCAAAACTGAGGAGGCAGCTGCAGCCTTGGTGCTAGCGCCCCGACAGACAGTGGGCCAGACATCTGGAGCAGCTGGCACTGAGGGGGTGGGGTTGGGCATGATTGGAGGCAGATCTAGAGTGGGGTCTGGAGGCACCTCTGGGATTCCCCCTTCCGCTGCCGCTTCCGCCACTGCCCCTTCTGCTGTCACCGCCGCCCGCTGGGTTTGTTTTTTTCCCCCCAGTTTGGGCGCTCGGGCTCAAAAACATTCACTGTCACTGACCTAGTCCAACCCCATACAGCGAATCAGAGTCCATTGATTCTGGCATTTATTAATTGCTGGCTACCAGTGCCTGTTCAGCATTCCAAGCAGTGGGTTTTTCTACATATGCTGAGATAACTTTTTGACTGGGAATATTGGGCATAAAATTGGCATGCACAGATTCTCACCTTCATGCAAAGCATGCATTCTTCTATTAAAGAGTGGTTTCCCTAAGTGGGAAAACTTGGCATTATATTCCTGGAGAGAAAGGCCAGTCTAATGCCATTTTTGCATCTTTGAGGATTCTTTGCCTTTCTTCCCCTTATTCCTTGCTGCCTTCACCTTTTCAGGAACTGCTTACGATACCTATAAGCCATTGTGGTTTGAGCGAAAGAAGGACCCCGACACCAGGGAGGTGGCCCACGTGTACAGGGGAGGCTACTGGGAGAGCAAAGAGAAACAGGACTGGAGCATGTGCCCCGATATCTTCTGATGACTGGAAGCAGCAGCAGGACTATTATGCAGATGGGGAAGAGAAGAGGGCTGGAGAGGAGCAGCTGATCATGTGACTTCCTGCTTAGCGCTTTCCTCACCAAATCTGTCTGTCTTAACCAATCACTTGTTTTGAATCAATCACCCAATGCAGAATCCAGCAGAGGTGATTGGCTGGGTTGCCTTAGCTGATTGAAGCTGACATTGGTGTCTGGATTCCTGGAATGTGGATGGGGACTAGTAGGAGTAAAAGACTGCATCCGTTGTTTCTCCACCACAAGAGTATCACTCTCCTTATGAGCCCCTTGTGTTTGGGGGTAAAGAGGGGAACAACACTGTGCTGTGTGGATTCCCACTCCCCTTCCCATTTTCAAATAGGGACAGGCAAGACTGTGAATGTATGCTTCAGTTTGAAGCATTTGTTGGGAGAGACCCAGGGACTTTCCTGCAACCGTGACCATAGGGAACGCTGTCTCATTCCTTCTTCCCAAGCCCCCTCTGGCACCCTCAATGTAAGTGAGACTTCCGAAGCATTGAGGAGAGGTGACAACCCAATCCTTTCCTGGAACCATCAGGTCTCTTGGTTCACATGGGTAGTGAAGCATCTGACTGGGTCCTAGCAGGGTAGTGGGGGATAACTGTGGTCTCAGTGAAACCATCTTTTGGGGCGGTATCAACAGACATTCACCTGGTGGTAGGAAGTTGAAGTTTCCACTTTTCCTTCTCGGCCCCACTTTTCATACCAGGCTCCAGCACCTTCTCCGTGTGCACTTGGGCGGGAAGCAGTGGTGCGGGATAGAATCTCCCTCTTCCTAAAAGCCCTGGCCTAAAGCATTCTCTGGCTTAATGCACACCTGTTTATATGTATATTATATATATGTAGAGAGAGAGAGAAAGAAATCTAATTTTGGTTCTGATTTTTTTTTCTGTTCCTCCAGCCCTGCAAGAACTTCTTTTGTAACACGTTGCCCTTTCTGTTTCCCGTCACTGCCCCCAGATCTGGGGAGATGTTCTGCAGAAAGTGTGACAGTAAACATTGGTTTGTCTTGCCTTTAATAATAAAAAAGAAAGAAAGAAAGAAAGAAAAAATCGTCTTTGAGGCAGAGCCAGATTTCAGTGGCATCCATCTTCAGGCTCCTCACCCTATGCAGGCCCAGGCAACGTATCCATTAATTCCCTTGGGAGATAAGGAGGCTGTGGGAGCTCCCCAGCTGGCCTTGGGACAGCTCTTTGATTGCAGCTCTCAAAGTTGCGTCCCGAGACTGAAAAGGTGCTGCCACTGTAACCGAGTGGGCTCAGGGTCCAGAAGCTGCCCTCCCCCACCAGGACCCCGCATGTGGGGAGGGGAGGAGGTGTTGGTGGAGGACCACATGGCAGCCCTTGGCTAAGAATCACACAATGAGGTGCCTTCCTTCTGTGTTTTCTCTCCTGTTTTCCTTTTTATTTTGATCCTTGACTTCCAAACTTCAGCCACTGAAGGAGTAAGAGTCCAAGGGGTGCTGGCTGGGAGAGAGGAGGCCACCTGCCCGGCCTTCCCACCAGCAAAGAGCGATGCTGCTCGGTGGGCAAGAAGGGGCTGTGGGCAGGGCCTCTGTACCACTTGCTGCTCGAGTAAGGTGTGCAGCCTGTGCCGTGCAGCAGGTGGAGGCTGATCCTTTCTGGTGTAGCAGTGGTGTGGAACCTTTGCTGGGGGGAGCAGATGTTTTGGATCTCCAACTTTTAACAACTCCAGCTAGTTTAGCCAATGTGAAGGGATTATGGAAGTTTCAGGTAAATATTTGGAGGGCTGAAGGTTCCACACCCCTGCTGGAGAATAGCAGGCTTTAAAAGAGAGAGAGAGAGAGAATATCCCTGCAATTCTATTTTTGGGGTTATTTTTGCCTTACTGTCTTTTTTCCAAGAAAACTAAATTAAATAATAAAACCTGAAATATCCAGCGTGTGTGCCTGCGTGTCATTTCACTGTCAGATCTGAGGGCTTGGTTGCATACTATATCCTTACGTTCCCAACACACAGCCCAAGGTAACCGGCCCTGGATGACTTTCGTTCCCTGCAGTGTCCTTGGCCTTTCTCTTTATAGCAGCACTCAAGACAAGACCACGCATGCATACAAACCGCTCTGACTTGGGCTTAGCACCTGAATCAGTTGATCCTGGAAAGGGCTGGCTGTGAAGACTCATGGTGCGCCATCTGAAATCCACTGCGCTCGCACTTCATAGAACTGCCCTATTCTTTTAGGGAAAATAAAACTCTTGGTCACTCAATGAAGCTAGGCAGTGTTTATGTTGTGCTCAAAGGTGTGCTACATGGTGAAAGTTACTGGCGCAGAGATTCCTTCAACCTCAACTGCTGTGTTATTAAGCAGTTTCACCTGGACACTCTGTAAGGTCCTGTAGGCTGGGACCTGATTGTTAAAACTGGACAACTGTTCATTTGAGTAAATGAGCCAACATGAAGCCCATCATTGCACCAGGGACTTAATGTAGAACTCTTAAAGAGAGGAATGGCTACATGGCTCCATCTGTTATGTGCCTTTCCATTGCCCAGTTTCTTGCATGTAAACTCAACAGGCTTCCTTGCGTGTAAAACTGGCAACCCCTGTTATGTAGCTGTGGCTTCTTCAGACCACATGCGGCTTGTTCCAAATAAATTGTACTCTGTTCTAAAGAGCAAATACTATGTTGCTGCACAATGAGATAGATTCCTCTGCATCACAGACAAATCTAATTGTGTTCATGGTTGCAAACAGTCTTTAAAAAAAAAACAATTTCAAAATTTATTTCTATCCTACTCTGAGTGGGTTCAAATTTGGGAAAACCCCATTCCCCTTCTTGTTCCCCAAAAAGTGGAGATAGTCCTTTTTTTTTTTTACAAACACTTCTTTTGTTTTCAAACAATGGAGTCCTATGAAGAACAACTTCAGTTGGACCAATGGGTCCCTCAGTTTCTTCACATTTAACATAAGGTCCCTTAATTCAGGCGTCACTAAAGAGTTCACCATCGGAGGTTGACTCCAAACCGTTCACGATCTGAGGGCTTTCTCGTAGGCCTCCTCAGAGTGGGACATACAGTGCCACAACAGGGGTGCCGAGCCCACTGTCCCTCCGTGGGTGTTTCTGGCTGAGGGATCACCACAAGCCTGGCTCACTTCTTCCACCAATCTTCCTTCTTGGGATAGACCTACACCATCCATTCCACTGGTTGTGTTTCTCCCAGCTGTACTGCAAATCCTTTCTTTCCCTTTTATCCTCTTTTCCTATCTTACTCCCCTCAGGTCTCACGTTATTGCTGTCTCCTTTCTATTTTCTCAAGGGGCAGTTTCATTTTAAGATGCTCTCCTGACCAGGGGTCTTCTATTTCTAACCAACCCCATCCTAGAGAAATGTTTTTCTCTTTCACCTCCTTTTTTCTTTCTTTTCCTCCTCCTCCTTTGCTACCGCTGTCTCCCAGTCTAGCTCCTTTTCACCTTCTAAATTCTCAGCCCGTCACCAGATATCCTTCTCCTATTGGCTCCTCCCTTTTCTCGCCCTCCTCTCGCTTTGCTTCTTTCCTGTTGCTTTTCTCCTCTGTTTTCAATTGGGCCATTTTTGCGCTGGAGGGAACAGCCCACACTCCTCTCGGCTGCTGGTTAGTGTTTCCTTCTCACTAACCTGCCTTTTCCTCAAATGGGGGAAACAAAGTTGCTCACACTATAAAGAAAAAGTACAAATAAAGCAAATCATAATAAAAACCCCATATAATCAAGTTAAAACATGAAAACACTATTGCGTTTAAACTGTTTAAACACACCTTAATTAAAACAATAAAAGAGTAAGCACTGTCACACGCCTGTTTAATGCCTTGCTCTCAGCAATTGGTTGCCATAGGCCTAAGTCAACAGAGAGGCCTCTGCCGGCTGGTGGAAAGGAAAGGCAACAGAGAGGAGCCCATCCTGTCTCCTCTCGGAAGGGAAGTTCCACAACCTAGGAACAGCCATTGAGGGATGCCCTAGGTGGGGGAAGAGAATGGACTTGTGTTGCAGGCTTTCAGTTTGTTCTGTGAAACTGTAGGTCTTGCCTTTTTCAAGACAAAATATGTACTGTAAACCATGTTGCTGTGTGGTACGAGCCCACCCTTGCTCACTTTCCACGAGTTAAACCTCTGGCACCGTTTTCCCTGTAACCTGCTGCTTCCATCCACTGGTGTGGCAAGAGGCACCGCTACCCTATCTAAAACTAGAAGAAGAAATACTTGCATATATGACAAGCGCAGGAAGAATTATGAACACCTGGGAACACTGGCTTTTTGGCCCAGTAACTCCTGGGACCAATTTCCCGGTCGGCATGGCCAGGGGGAGGGGAAGAGCTGCCCTCCCCTAAAGGAAATGGGTGGGGTCCGCGAGAGCTGCTGGGCACCATGTGGGTGACCCAAATCAAAGTTCTTCTAGTTGGCTTGCGTCTCCATGGCAAGTGGTTTTGTTCAGCAAAGCAGCTAAGCATGAATCATCTTCTATAGTCTCTCCTTCCCTAAATATACCTATGATCACATCGTAAAGAGTTGCGGAAGACCTCCAACTTTAAATGAAGGGATTCTCAGATCGGGGCAGACCTGCCCACCTCTGTGCTTGGGATTACTGAGACAATTCTCGGCCAAGTCCCTGACAACGTTTGTGCACTTTTTAGGTCTCAGTGAGGACCCACTTTGGACAAACAGAGAAACACAAAAGGCCAGGCCAGGCCAGGCCATGGACTGAATGGTGCAAGCAGGACAGAAAGGCACCAGTGGATGTCTATGGAGCTGGGTGCTTTTGTCTTATTTCCCCACCAGCTTTACTTCTGTCAGGAGAAACGCCAAAAAATGAAAAAAAATGCCCACAGCAGGGCCAGGCCATGGACTGAATGGTGCAAGCAGGGCAGAAGAGCAGCCGCAGTCGCCTACAGAGATGACACTGTTTCATTTTCCTACTTCCACCCCCCCTTTCCCCACCCTGCCGAAAGCTCCTATCAGCTTTATAAGGCAGCCACTAGGAAGCCAGTGAATGAGGAAGGCCTTTAAAAGGACAATCGGCATGGCCTTCCTTGAGGTCTAGAAAGCAAGGCAGGGGCCATGTTCTCCTGCACTTTCTGTCTTCCTACATTTTTCTACCCTTTCGATCCTTCCCTACCGCTTTCTGTTCCTTAGATCTGAAATCAGAGATGCTGACGCCACAAGGCTTTGCTGGTGTAACCAGCCACTTTGAAGCAAGGCAAGGATGCTGAAGTCAAGAGCACACTTGCATTGTCTTCCTGGTCTGTTTTTGTTTACCTACGTACCCACCCCCCTTTCTCCACATCCACCAACGGCAACGACCCTTGAGTGCTGAGTTTAGCACAAGGGATCTGTGGGTGTCTTCCTCCATCTCATTAATGACTCTGGCCTCTTTGGTCTTTACTCTTGATCGCCAGAGAAATGAACAAATACGCCGGACTCCAAAAATTTTCCCATTTGTGTGACTGAATCCTGTCATGAGCTATAATCTGGCTTTCTGATTCATTTAACTCAACTGTTCTTCCCAGTATTGTGCCTCCTATGGATGAGGGGAATGAACAATGGCCTGATGTCAATCATTGGTTCTCCACTTTGCAGATAAGATCGCTTGGATCTGCTCTGACTTAGATGGTGGACTTAATGTGGGTGCTGTTGATGAAAATTTGGTCCCCACTTAACCTGTTGTAATGGATAAGTTTCAGACTGTGCCACCCGAGAATGTGGACAGGATCTCTGGAGAGGTGTGTGCTGGACCCTTGCCCTTCTTGGCTAATAAATGCAGCCAATGGGGAATCAGCTGAGTGGGGGAGGAGAGCGGGGAATGCCTCCCAGTAAGTAAGTGGGGGGTCCAGGGAATGTTCTGTTTACGAAATGGAGGCATTTGAAATGGTTTTTAAAATGTTTTTAAACTTATTTTTAATCTTGATTAATGTTGACTTGTTTTTACTATAGTGTTTTGGAAGTATTTTAAACTTGTTATTATTGTACAGTTTTAACTGTTGTGAGCTGCTTAGGTCCCATATGAGGAGAAAGGCAGCATAGAAATATAACTAAATAAACAAACAAACATCTAAAGGGCCATGGAACTTCTCCCCCGCCTAGCTACTAATTATATACAGTAGTAAGAATACTCATGCCTTGGCTCATTTTATCTTTACCAATGGTAAGGAAGGAATTCACATTTTACACAACACCTGTTTTTACCATGTGGATCTACATATCAGTGATGAGCCTCAAGGGAAAAAGAAGTCCATGATAGATTTACAGTTTCCAAGCAAACACAAACGACAAGGTTACCTTTCAGCTCCAAAAGCTCTCTCAGCAATGGGGATGGCACAACATTTGGGCTTTCTATGGAGATACTGACTGTGCTCAGGGAACAGAGAATGAAAAATTATTGGTGCCAAGGAGGGGTGGGTGGGAATGGCGACTTTAGATGTCCTTTTACCTGGATTCTCTTGGTACCAAAGTCAGGCCTAGCTCCTCAATTCGCTTTTAGCACCACAGTTTCATCCTGGAAAAAAAGTGGAACAAAAGCTTCAGAGCATGTGTAGAGGGCTTCCCCCTCTCCTCCAATTCTGCTGGTAAAGAAATAGAATTTCCAGTCTGGTTTGGGTGCAATAAGAAAGAAAAAATAAGTGGTGAATAACAGCCACACACCATCAATGGGTGAATTCTTATGACAGGAATGAAGGGAAGAGAAGCCATTGCTGAAGGCTGGAGAACACAGTTAGCTAATCAGGTACTGGAATGTAACTTTGAATACGGAGACACTGAATGTCATTTTTTAAACTGGACTGTTAATCGTGCAGAGAGTGCACACTGCACTATCAGCCAGTATATAAATCAAAGACATAAATAAATCAACTAATAAAGTTTATTTTTATATTTTTAAAGCTTATAGACCACTTGACTTAGATAAATCACTACTCAGGGCACTTTATGTAATAATGAACCGTACAACCAAACCAAAAAACAATCAAAAGGAAATAACCTCATTTATCCTTAACGAATCAACATCAACCAAAAAAACGACCCTCAGCTCACCCCGACATACAGTAAAATCCCAACCAAATTACACTAAATCATAGGAAAACAAACAACATATAATCCCAATAGAACAGAGAATTATAAAATAGTATCAAAATACAAAATACGGGTCAAAAGAAAATGAATGAATGAACGAACAAAAAGAACCTCTTTGTATGACTCATTATTTTCGTTCGAGCAGCCAAGCTAACATTCCCCTTTGCTATTTACTCCACGAACACAAAGTAATTCTTCGCCTTGCGCGTCGTTAGCGCTCGCTACTTCTGTCGCCCTCAGCTTCCCAGGAAAATACTGGTCTCTCGTTTCCTCTGGTGGCAACGCCTGATGTTGCACGTTGAACCACCGAAAAATACTAAAGACAAAAGGGGGAAAAACGTCTCCGGCCTCAGAGAATTGGTGGGAAGGGTATTGAAACACTTCCCTCAAAATGGCTCGAGAAACACATTTGGAAAATCACTTCTGCACGTGGTTGACTGCCTCAAAGGCACTTTCGCCATCAGTTTTGCTCCTGTAGATTCTGCTCCTTCCTTCATCGTCCTTGTAAAAAACACCCGGGCAACGCGTTACCCGGAGAAGTCACCGACTGCAGTGAACTACTTTGCTTGTAACTCGGTGCCTCCCAAGGCCGGGATGTGGGTTTCCCGTCTCTGAGGAACCTCGCTGGGAAGCGGGGCTGGGACCGGCTCCTTTGCCGCGGAACAGACCCGGCCCGCAGCCCGGCGGGAGGAACGCCCGCCTCGGATTCCCGCCCTCGGAGCGAATCAGCAGAAAGGCGCCTCCTTGGTGGGAGGAGAGAAGGAGAGGGAGATAGAGGGAGAGAGAGGCGGGTGGGCAGCGCAGCGCCTCTAAGCGTGGGAATGGGGGCCCTTCCTTCGCTCCTCCGGACCCTCCCTGACTCCTCCAGCCGGATGAGTCCGCCGCCAGCGCCCGCGAAGAGAGAAGTGGGCCGGGCGGGACGGAGGGAACGCAGCGGCTGCAAGAGGCCAGGCTGGCACTCGCGGAAGGGATTACGCGCGGCGCTTTGAACCATACGCCGTGCCTCGGAGAGTGCAAGGCCGTGGCTCAGGTCTCTGCCCCCTCTGGAGACCCACCTGGCGATCGGATTGCTTTTTGTTTCCTTTGCTTTCGGATTAACCCACCACCACCACCACCACCGATAATGTTGATCCGGTTCCTTTCTGGAGTCCACTCCAGATGTTAATGCCGTTCCAAGCCTTCGCCACGTCTTTTTCGCTTTACTGAGAAGTCTTTTTTGCTCCCAGCGGCACCTGTTGCTTCATCTCAGGAAACTATCACTTTAAGAGCTAGGGGAAAGCGCACATGATATGGCTCTGTGGCGCAATGGATAGCGCATTGGACTTCTAGCGTGATTGAGTCATTCAAAGGTTGTGGGTTCGAGTCCCACCAGAGTCAAAAGTTTTGATGAAAGAAAATGACAGGGCGCAAACTAACGACACTATGCCTTATAGAAATCGTTGGGAGTCACGCTGATTTCCTGGTGAAATAAGCGAAAGTACAGTGTATGACCTACGTAGGAAAGACCTGACGCTGGATGGTTTGACTTCCCCACCACCACCGTTTGTTTAAGGGAACGCTAATGGCTGATTTGGAGCGGGAGATCCCAGAAAGTGCCGGGGCACACACACACACACACCCAGCTCTGCTCAAGTCAACGTAGCCGCTTATGAAGGGTGTACAGTACAGGCATTTCAGGCAGGTCTAAAGGTGCATAATTAATGAATGTAACATCTGGCTTACTTTCTCTAATTTTAATCTTGCACCCCCACCCCCTTGGGGTCTTGGCAGGCCCAAATGGGGCAGCTGCAACCAGACCCAAAGAAGCCCCCTCCCTGACATTTTTGATTGATCCACTATGATGCAACTCCCATGATCCTCAACCAGCATAGCCAATGGTGAGGGAAGACACAAGTTGCCGTCAGACATTTCGTGGGTCCCAAGAGGGCTGGGGAACCTTGCACACCCTTTGGTGACAACATGGGTGGAGGTGTGGACCAGCCGAACCTATGAGATTAGCTTATCTTGAGGAGGGTGAAAAAGTAGGCACCCCAAATCTTGAGTAGTTAAGGGGCTGGGTTCACAAGCCAATTGGATACCCTTATGGTTTCAAAGATCACTTGCGTACAAGTACAAGACACTTTATACTATTCATACCAGTCATTTTGATAAACTCGTTTCGGTTCCTCTGTGCCACCCCATTTAGTGCCTTTGCAACCCCAGGTGGATAGTGAAGTTGTTTCACTTCTCCCAGCCTTTTTACGCCTGGAATGGTTTCTTAGCTACTTTTAGGGGCGTGTTATAAATGGGCCTGTATAGAGCCTTGGACAGTTCTGTGGACTTCAAACAAAAGATGTAAGAGGTATAACATGGAAACAAGGTTGGCATTTGGAAGAAGAATAAACAGAAACAACTTGAAAGCTGTGCACTTTGAAGGAAGTACAGGGGCAACTGCATCTGTTGGAAGTATTGGATCAAGGTTGGACAAGAAGGGTTTAGTTCCAAAAGTTTCCAGGCTTTTGCTGATTTTTAAAATTGAAAAAAACATTCGTGTCTGATCTCCAGAAGCTAACCGAGCAGCTGAGGGGTTGTGTGAAATAGGGAGTCTCCCCAAATCCAGAATGTCCAGATTGGCCCAAGACACTCGTGAGCTCCATCTTTTATGCCCAAGTTTGTGCTGCTCTGATCGGGGCAGGGAAGGGAGATTTCCAGGTCCTGTCACATCGTGTCTTCTAAGCAAAAGGAACCGGTACATCCACGGAAGTCCAGATTATAAATGAGAGACAAAGTCTCAGGATGTAGAAATTAGAATCAACTTCTTTATTCTGTGTTCGTTAAATGGGTAGTTAAAAAGCTCTGGCTCAACGCGTTTAGGGGAAACCTTCTTCAGGAGCTAAGCATAATACAAAGCCACATGTTAGATATCGATTCATTCACATTTTCTTTTGAAAAGATATACACCTGACTTGGGACTCTCAATTTTACATAAATACATACATTTACACTGAGCACGTTAGGCATATAAAACATATTAGACATAATATAAAACACATACCGACCTTCTTTGTACTCTCTGCACCTTTCTTTGGTCTACACCAGCTCCAACGCTGATTGAAAGTGTTGGCACTGAGAAAGGGGGCATATATACACAGCTGTTTCCCTTTTTAATAAAAACCTTTCACAGGGACTCTGTCCAGGATCCAGAACACCAGATCTTTTATTGTATGGCTCATTTCTGTAAAATGGCCAACTAAAGGACTACCTAGTCGTTTACTTCTTAAATTACTAAGCGGCATAGCGGACCCGCAGATGTCGGAAACAGGGCGCATTCTAGCAAAAGACAGGGCAAAAGCCGCTGGGGGCGGATTTCACGGATCGGCCCCATTGAAGGGTGAAGGTCGTCTGGCGTGGGTCGGCGCCCTTCCTCCCTGCATGGATGGGCCCAGGGGTGGGAGGGGAAGAAAGCCCAAAGGAAGTCTGGGGGCCCGGGCGGCAGAAGCAGCAGACCGGGCGTTTTGCGCCCCCTGCACGGCGAGCAGGTGTTTTCTTGGGAAGCGGGTCTCATGGCCCCCCAGTGGTGCTTGCTTGGGGTCAGGCATGTCGCGGGCGGTCCCCTGGGCGACTAAGTACCGAGAGAGCGCCGGAGCAACTGGGAGGGCTGGGAAGAAATGCGCGAGAAAGCCGACGGGGGGGGCGGTGAAGCGCGGCTACCGCCACGTGGGCTGGAAGGGCGAGGAGGCCAGGGGCGCGGCGGCGGCGGGGGGGGGGGGGCGGCGCGTCCTGCTGGGTGGTGCATTCCAAACAATAAACCATCGAACAGCGTCTCATTGGGATGACTTAAAAGAAACTGCTGTCGTTACCAGAATGGCCGAGTGGTTAAGGCGTTGGACTTAAGATCCAATAGACATCTGTCTGCGTGGGTTCGAACCCCACTTCTGGTAAAGCGTCCTTTTACAATTCCCACCCCTAGAGTTCCCAAATGCGGAAAGGCGGAGAGCTTCTTTCCAAAGTAGCTGCGTTTTACTGACCGTTTTTTTTTGGGGGGGAGGGCACTTTTCTTTCTGGCAGGTATTTCAAACTTGGGCTAGGATCGCAAAGGAGAGCGCCGTTTGAAGGGCCAGAAGGAGCCCCTCCCGGCCGGAGCCGGTGGCGCAGTCATTTGCGCTTCCGAGGAAACCGAGCGATCCCGAGGTTGGCGGTTCCAGGACGACGAAGAGCGAACCTTTTGGAAGACGGACGGAAACAAAGAGCACCACGAATGAACCCCAATGTTCGCCAATAAATCGTACCAAGTTGAGCTGAGTCTCCGCGTGAAAGAGCGTCCTCTAAATGCGTCTACGTGTGGCTGACAAGCACCCAGGAAAGGGCAAACGCCTTAGCAGTTTTTGCTGCTTATTTGTTTGGATCCACTCCAAGCCCTAATGTGGAATGCAGAAGGAGCGAGGCCGTGCGTGGATCCACCCTCGGGGCTTTGCGTGGGAAGTTTGTACAGTATCTGCATTTTTCAGGCGTGGGCTTAAGAGCCTTTGACGTGCAGGGAAATGTACCACCCGCACTCCGTACCTCATGTCCTGGGAGCCTGCCTGAGGAGAAAAGTCTTCGCCTGCTTGCCGAAGGACAGCAAAGACGTCGGGAAATGGCGGTGTGAAAAAGATGCTTTTCGCCTCTTGATGGAAGGATGAGAAGGAGGAGGGCGAAGGGCTCCTCCAGAGGGGAGAGGGCATTCCGCCAGAGCTTGGCCCCCAGGCAAAGAGGGCTTTTGCTGTGGGAAATGTTTAGAGCGTAAACTTGCCACCAGAGAAGTACCTGGATGGGCAGAGATGCTGAAGTGGGCGAGAGGATGTGGCCGCAATCTGTTTCCTTCTGGTTCTGCCTCCTGGACATGAATTTCTAGAGCATATCTAGAAATGCTAGAAGTGGCTACAACATGCCGAGGAGGGGCTACAACATGCCCAGGGAGCAGGCCGAGGCAAGCATTCCCTCCTCCTTGCTTGGAACGGGTCGCCTCTCCCAAGGCTCACCTGAAGGCTTCCTGCAAATACCGAAAAGGCTTTGGAATGAGAGTCAACAGTTCAGGTTTCCCATGATTAGCTTTTGATAGATAGAAAGGTCAAGATTGGTGCAGGAGGATTGCTACTCCGGTTAGGTAGGCACTCTTTCCAATCTTTCGTGTGTTCTGAAAGCCCTGAACCACCAGGAGGAAAGGATCCTGAGGACACTCACTATACCTAGGAAGACAGCCTGACCCAGAGAGGAAGGGAATGTGCTGGGGTGGGGAAATGGTCAGATGACACCAGAAGGTGGGGTCCCCGCAGCCTGACTTCCTCCCCCCCCTTCTTTCTCTCTCTCTTTCCTATTCCATGTGAAATTTCGCTGCAATTAGTATTCCAGTTGAATAGACCTGGAAGCCACAGATTTCCTGAACTTCAAAGGAATACAATAATACAGTATTTGCAAGTCAAACTAAGTCCCACCAGCAGCATGTGAATCTGGATCTTTCAGACCCCCCTTCAGATGGCTTGCAAGTCCGATAAGAATTCTTTTGTCCCCCCCCCTCCATACTATCGCCACTGTAAACCCAACCCGCTGAGAAGCTACTACTATATTTGTTCCGCTTTTCATTGTGCAGTAAAACCTATATACCATTGAGTGTGTACTCCAAAACAGATATATTTCCCATGCATTTGAGGTGTTCACAGTTTGGCTACAGGGTACCCTACTGACGTCACTGGGGGGGGGCAGCAGTGCTGGCAAGCACTGGTTGCCCTGCAGTTTGCCCAATCAGCCTCCCCTCAGAAGGAAACCAGTCATGGTTCACCCACCCCAAAGTTTTTACATGGAGGTGGATCTACTGTACTAGGAAACTATTGAAGCCTATGCTTCAGGGCCCCTAATCCCAGATGAGTCCCAGAAGTGACTTTAGTTCACATTTAAAAAATGGTGATCTGTCATGGAACAACCCAATTGAAGGCGATAAGCAATCAGCCTCCCCTCAGAAGGAAACCAGTCATGGTTCACCCACCCCAAAGTTTTTACATGGAGGTGGATCTACTGTACTAGGAAACTATTGAAGCCTATGCTTCAGGGCCCCTAATCCCAGATGAGTCCCAGAAGTGACTTTAGTTCACATTTAAAAAATGGTGATCTGTCATGGAACAACCCAACTGAAGGTGATAACAAGGGTTCTCCAGACTTCTTTGCAGGTTTTGAAAGGGCCCCCACAACAGTGCAAGTTTCAGGGCCCCAAAAGTGTAGGTCCATCATTGCCTTTATAGTATTTCCAATGTGGGCTAGGAGCTTGGTTTTCATTTTAAATGAAGACGGAAGTTCTTGGGATGGGGCATTCTACCCCAATACCAATTTGGGCACTTGTGTGGTTATCTTAGGCATGAGGAACCACAAAGCAACTCTTCTGTTTTCTGACATTTTATTTCTCAATAGAGGAAATCTTAGCCCCTTGGTTGGCAAATAGAAGTAGTGTTTTCTTATTGAAAGCTATCCCTCATTCAAGCCCGAATCAGAAGCACTTCAAAGCCATCCATGCTAAGCGGTGCCCCTTCAGCTGCAACAGCCCCCCCCCCGCCTGCCAGGTTGCTCCAGGCCCTGTGACGCATCCTTCCTTGTGACAGGCCTCCTGAGTGGCGCTGTGGGAGGCGGCCAGAAATTCTTCACTTCTCTTGCTACAATGTTGGAGTAGGAATGAAAATGTGAGTAGGAGGTCTCAGCAGCTGATTGCTTGTGGTTTGGTCATGAACAGGTGCAACTGTGAGGAGTCCTCTAAAACAGCCATTCTCAATGTAGGACATGGCACATTTGAAGGGGGCCACAGGCTGGAAATAATTCTTCACACAGTGCCTTATAAGGTTCATTATGCAACTAATACAATCCTGATTTGGCCTGAAGTTTCTATTGTATTTATGGCCTTGGCCAAAAAAAAAAAAAAAACAAAGTTTGAGAATGGCTGCTCTATAAAACTGAGAAAACAAGAGGAGGGCTTGATGTATGCTTTCGTTTCCAAGGGAACTGCTAACCCTTGGCTAGTGGTGGGAGGTGATTTGTCACCTTCTATGAAAACAGCATGTGGCAAAGAGCACAAGAGCCTCAAAGTTTCCTGAGGCTTTCCATGACCATAAGATTAGAAGGTGGATCCCTTTGGCTTTCAGCTCGGACTTTGGGCCTTGCCTGAGTTTCATGCCTGTCCCTCCTCTGTCCTTGCCAGACACTGACTGGACGCTGCTATGCTTCCAGAGGAAGATCCACCTTGTCAAAGGCACAACACATCAGAGCCGTCCCCACTGCTGTGGTTGTCCCCACTGCAGTTGGGGAGTGCAGATCTCCAAGTAAGTCCCGCAAGGTTATAGGGATCACGGGGGAGGGGGGGCATGGCCAGCTGGATCATCTGTGGCTGTCAATGTGAGCTCTCTGTCTCTCTTCATTCCCTTCAGGATCGTCCTCCAGCTGCATAAGGTGCTCCCTGTCTGCATCCATGGACTCCCTGGAGTCAGCTGATAGACCCAACATGTCAGTTACGGATTTTGATAGAAATATATGGAAGGAAAACTATAAGAAATCTGAGTGGGGTGCAAAGATGTTGCTTCAAAATTTGAAAAGGCCTTTTTAAAAGTGCCTCAGAGAAGAGTATTAAGAGTGAAAGCATTACTAAAAACCCACACCTGGAGATACAAGTTTATATTATGAAACCAAAACATGGCCAGTTCGTTTTCAGTGCACAAAGAACTGAAGATATGATGGCAGCAGCTCATCCACTGAGTTTCATGTCAGTGTTCACAATAGAAAAAGTAAACAAAATGTGAACAGAGACAAGAACAGAAAAAAAATGGAAATACTTTTTATGTTGTCGCTTTAGGTTATACATACCTATAATTAACAAAGAAATACCACCAAAAGAGATGTGGAAAAATCTGTTGAACAAATGAGAATAACCATCTATTGCACAGAAGAAGCTTTTACAAAACAGTGTAAAAGAAGGAAACAAAGAATGTTATTTTAAGTAGTTTTTTTGTCTAAGTGTAACCTCAAAAGGTATAAAAACAGGTTTCTATCATGTTTATGAGAAGATCTACTAAAAACACTTGCTTGAAAAAGGGGAAATATCTCAAAGGGAGTGAAAAGGTGACACACATTGTTCTCATGGAGTGAGACAGAGAATGGGACTTATGCCTAGCATAAGGACTGCACATGGCAAAGAGATTCCACTGCATCAGATTATGAAGTTTCCTCCTTTGGCTGGGAAGGCTGAGTGAGCTTTTCTTTTTTTAGAGAAAATATTTTTCTCTATATTAATATTCTTAGAGCTAAGTAATGCTTTTAATTTTGTATATTTCTACTTTTAAAAGGTTTAAATACTTTTTAATGCCTGTTACTGAATGTTATAAGGCTTTTTTGATTTTTATGATTTTTTACTATTATTTTCCTAAGAACTTTGAAGTGCTATAGAGATGTCTTTTCTACCTTGATAGGTTATGAGCTCCTGTGTTTTAATGTTTTTGCATTTTTGATTCAAGCATGATTAAAATTCTTGTCTGGATTTTGCATAGCTTTAAGCTTACAACTAAGATGTATTTTCTGACAAGTATTTGTTCAAATATTAAGTTCAGTTTTTATGGATTTTTAAGTATTTTAGGCTTATTGTTTTGCATGTCTGTATGACTCTTGGATTTAAGCATATTTGCCTACAAGTCAAAGCCTTGAAGGACTGAACCTAAATCTCACTATCTCAGTCTCACCCTCTTTCTCTTTCTCCCCACTTCCTCCTCTGTTTGTTTGCTTGTTTCTTGGGCTTGGGGTGGAGGAAGAAAAGAGGTTGATTCACACCCACCAACTTTCTTCCTTTGTTCCTTTGTCTTTGGGGAGCTGTTCTGTGAGAGCAGAGAACTCTCTCCTTGCTCTGCAGGGAAATGGTCCTCCAGCCCTCGCCTCCAACCCCGGATTCCTCATTTTTTATTCTTTTCTGGGAATGGAGGAAGAGGTTCTGGGGATGGAATTGAGTTACTCAATTGTCTTTGTAGCTGGGAATAATTTTTAGTTGTTGATATATTTGAGGGGAGGAAGGGATGAAAAAGGGCTTCTAAAGTTAAGGACCAGTCCCTTGAGGCACAGGAGACAGAGACCAAAATTTGCCACTGGTTGCAGAGGTTCTACACTGCAGAAAGCAGGCAAATATATCCTCTCAGGAAGAACATATTTGTTTCAGATAAAATCAGTGCAATTTGTTTCAGATAAGATCAGTGCAATTAAAGCATTTAACTAAAATGCCCTACATACTCTCTCAGCTTGACCATCTGAAATCACCAGGGCTCCCTTATGAATAGACACAGAGAAGGAGGTTGGAGAACTGCGAGTTTATGAGTGGAAGAAATAAGCCCCTGTTTAGGAATCTTGCTGCTATCATACTTTTTCTGAGAGACTAGCACAGTAAAAACTTTTTTTTTTGCTTAGGGATGCAATCACAAGACAAGGGAATTTCTATGTTTTTAAACTGGAAAACCATTGTTGAAAAGAATACTACAAATGATGGCTGCAGAAGGCACAGCGCACAATCTATCCCATGGTGCAACGACACAGACGTTATCCTGTCTTTGCTGCTGCACAGGAAGTAACTAACTACAGTAAGAAATGGGTAGGATGTAGGGAAGACAGATGGGGGAACTAAAAAGTACAGTTGGGGGGTCAAGGTGTGATGGGGCCATAGAAAAACAGAGATAAGCTCTTCCATCTTTATGATACTCTGAACTTGATCTACGGGACAAGATAGGAAGATACTTTCTCACTTGCTCTCTCTCTCTCTTTCTGTCCGTCTGATTTCATTTAAAATATTTTACCCCACCTTTCTCACTAAAAAAGACCCAAGAAGGCTCACAGAATTAAAAGACAGTATTTAAAGCCAACAACAGTGAGTATACAAATACTAAAAAGGATCAAACAAATAAGATACTTACACAGCTGGAAACTAGCTAGCTGCAAATAATCTAGCTCCTTGGAGCTAGTTCTTTTGGGGGAGGGCAATGGTCATGCAACACTTAAGTTGCACTTCCAGCACTTTCCCGGATCTTCTGGATGTGAGAGTGGGTAATGTTTTTGAGTCATTTACAAAAGCAGCTTTTCAGTGATGCTTTAAGGTCTCTTTACATACCACTGCTCAGTGCCAGAGCGCTTTCTCTGTGTGTAGACGTTTGCAAATTTAACGCTCAGCTTCTCCAGACAGGGCTAGGAAAGGATCCTGCCCCAAAACATGAAATGCTATGGCTGCCGAGAGTCACTGTTAAAAACACTGGGTTAGATATATCTGAAGACTGGGTGGCTTCTCATGTTCCAGGCATAAAACAAGGAAGTGCTCCTGGGAATGTAAGAATTGGTGCCTCAACAGCGGCCATTTTATTTTTCTTCCTTCTCCTCTTTATCTGCATCCCATTTCCATACTGCTTTTTTTGCCCCTCCCACATGTGCAACTAAAAAGCAAAACAAAACCAAAAACACTACCCCACCCATCAATAAAACTGGCTTCTCATGTTCCAGGCATAAAACAAGGAAGTGCTCCTGGGAATGTAAGAATTGGTGCCTCAACAGCGGCCATTTTATTTTTCTTCCTTCTCCTCTTTATCTGCATCCCATTTCCATACTGCTTTTTTTGCCCCTCCCACATGTGCAACTAAAAAGCAAAACAAAACCAAAAACACTACCCCACCCATCAATAAAACCATTAGAACAATAACCATAACGCAAATTACTGTGCTAGGAAAGAATGCCTTTAAAAGAATTCCATTAAAATGCTTTCAAACAGTACTGGTCTTATGGCAGGTTATTAAACTGCAGATGTCCTTTACAGGGAAAGATAAGGTAAGGAGAGGCTTCAAAATAAATTTTATCATACCTCACCCATTAACCCCTGGCAACCCCTTTCTCAGGTCTAGCTGCTACCTGGTTGGTGCTGTGGATCTGTGCAGCGTATCATCCACACCAGCGGGTCTTAACCTTTTCTTTACCATGGACGTCCTTTAAATATCTTTTGTTGCCGCCGACCCCCAAGACTTAACTCAAGATGTTGTTGCAGACCCCCAAGACTTAACTCAAGATTTAAAACCCTAAAGCGCATCAAATACGTATTTATTTAAAATTTATCATGAAATATCATATTGACAGATACTGCTTGCTATAACTGTGATACTTTTTAAAATGACTGGAAGAAGCTTCATTTTGCTTTGAAGAGATTGGACCCTCATCAACATTATCAGTTCTTTTATATTTCAAATTCAGCCAGCGATCCATTCTGAGGCTCAGCCAAAATGTATTGTTACAAAATTCACAGCAATAATATCAAAAAGTCACTTTACCCAAGAATAACCGAACAGTTTTATTTGCAGGAATCAAAGAAGAAACACGAACATGAAGTCAGTCTGAACACTCACTGACACTGACTGACTTCGACTCTTTCTTCCCAAGGCTTCTGTCTGCGCAGTAGCAAGAAAAGGTCACTTGCTGTCTCTCAGCCACTCAGCATCACTTACTCGCATGTTCTCACTGTGTGCAGAAATATCAAACAGTCATTTGCTATCAGTTTCGATAACTGATTTTCACTATTGCTTGCTTTAATTAGAGACAGTAGGTTAGAAAAGCCAAGTTTTACAGAAACAAGCAAGGGAAATTAAGATTTTGTTCTACA